TTCTTTTATAGTCGCAATCACCACCGCTGTCCCGTTACATTTATGCTTTAGCATAAATAATATCCAGCAAAAAATTTATATATTAAAAATCTCTTTAAATTGTTGCTTTATTTTAAGGAATGCCTTTTACTTTGTGCTCTTTTTAGTTTTAGTTCTTCTAAATATTCCTCGGGCACAAGTTATTGCTCAAAATAATGTACGTTCGCTTGTCAAACGTGAACAAAAGGAAAAGAAAGAACAAAATTATGTTCTAGACTATACTGGCTTCCATATGTATTATTCTTCGATATTCTTCACCTAGTGTTACGTATGCCATTTTAGGTTGGCTTCAACGTGTTTGCCTGTCTCTCTGTTACAACCTCAGCTCCGACTTGTATAAAGATACTTCTCTTATATATATCTTACCAACTCGTGTGAACTTATTACCTATTATGTACAATGCGTGGGTTTTCGAACCCTTCATGTATAACTTATGTCTATCCTATTGGTATCGTATGCTTTTATAACGCTGAGCATGCCGAGAGAAAGCCTAAAAGAAAAGAGCAGCAATATATGATATTATTACATAAATATGCAAACGCAACAAACCAAAGCCAATTATCATTCTCTTAGGCTATAGTATTTAGTAAGTGCCATATATAATTTCTCTTCTTACGTCGTCTTATAAACATTGGCTTACACGGTGTGTGCGGGAGACGGCTGATCTGTGCTGCCGTAGAGGGAGGAGATCTTTAGGGGATATTCCTGCTCTAGTACGGATGAACAACTCCGACCGACTGTTTTTGGCCAGTATTTGGACGGACTTGTTACCAGTGTATTGCTACCTTACAGCGTATAAAAATTGCGACCATCTGAGAGCAAGCGTCTATGTTTGTTTACAATTCTCAATAATTGAAAATGTATTTGTTTATTAACAGCTGTCGCATATAAACTTATTACTGCTTTGCCTTTCCGTTGAGAAGAAACATATCAATGTACCAAATTTGATCAAAATTTGTGAAAATTGCGGCCTATATGTTGAAAATGAAAGCATGTGGGCTATCATCAAATGACGAAGAGACGGAATGCCAGAAAACATTTCGAAAAAAAAAAATGAAATAAACTCTCTCCATTTAACTATTCGCATGGTTAATTTGTACCTTGTGGTATCGACAATGTGTTATAAGCTACCTTGAAATAACTGAAGGTGTAGAATTTTATGTTAAACATTTTATTATGAAATTAAGAGGGAAGATTTGTATTGCGTGAAATCTACGTGGAGGGAAAGTTGATAAATATGCCAAATTCAATAAAAGTCATTTATCGTTACAAAAGAGGTATAATTACTCCGGCTTTAGTAGTAAGGAAATTTGGTTATATGCATTTGGAAAAAAAACCATTGTGGACTCATATATAGCCTTTTAAGAATATCTTGTTACCACGATTTGGGCACGAATCTTTCAAGGGTTTAAAACCGAATGTACCCTCTACTGATGATCGGATGCAGCCAAGATGCTAAATTTTAGGATCAACACCCATTATGTAGCTCTCAGCAGCAATGGTCTTGGATTTTAATTCGCCCGTCTGCTTTGTAATCAATGAAGACGCAGACTTACATAATTTTTGCGTCTGGTAGAATAGAACGATTGTGCTACGAGAAGCAGTTTTTCCGTTCATAGTATTGTTATTTAGTTCTTTATTGAGTTCTAGAACTAGTAGTACAATATCATGGAGAACGATATGTGGAATGCGATATGAATAAAACGGCATCATATGTGTAAATATATCTGTGCCACTCGTATCACCTAGAAGAAATTAACAGTTTTATATATGATATATGCTATGAATCAAAACAGATTCACCCCACCACTGTCGCTAACACAATACCGATTATTTGTTTAAAGCCACTTGTTTTTTACTAAAATAAGCAGTCTTTTGCACAAGCAAATTCTTAAAACCGGTTTTTTTCAATACCCGAGGCATGGTAGGATGTGGCTTCGCTTATGGTGCCCAAGATCTGTGACCGTTACTGTAACAAGAAAAGTTGAAGAGAAAATTGCAGAAGAAAATTTACAATACCATCATCCACACTACTCTTCCATTAACCCTCAATTAACTTCACCTTTATATCCAACAAATGTTGAGAAAACCAACATCCAAACCTTTTCGAGAATTCGCATATTTTTGAACATTTTGTGTTAATTCTTCGCATCATATTCGTACAAGTGGTTTTATATAATATATAATCTTATGTATATAAATGTATAAAAAAAGAGCATTTATCTCCCCTTGAACGTCTCCTGAGTAGTTTTAGTAGATTTTTACGTTATTCCCATTGTAAGCTAAAGCGAAATATTTTGCGTTGAAAATATTTTTAAATCTCTATGGAAAAACTATTATTGAGAATATATACGCTTATTCTCGTATGTGGCCAAATTTTTATACAAATACTTGAACAATTACTCAACAGGTGTAAACAAATTGGACGCTTATTCTCACATTTTTCGAATTATTGAGAATATTTACCCTTATTCTCGTATGTGGCTTCACTCAATAGATTTGTTTAAAAAAAATCTGTTCATCATTTTCGCCATAAGGGATTGAAGTAGACTTTAGCAAGCGTTGTAACGACTCATTACTGTGGGGGAATATATCATTTTTCATATACGCACTAATTTTTTCTTGGAAGAATTCAGTTATCTAATTATGTCCAAAGGTGTTATATGATGGGTTTTAATTTTTGCCTTGTCAACAAGTATAAGGAAGCGGCAGCTGGTGACCTAATTTGTGCTTACATACGTACGTTACTAACTTAATATATCCTGTACCACAAGTGATATATTATTCATGTCATTTTTTAAATGATCGGCTCTCTCGTAATTGAAAATCCGAACTTTCCACATTTTTGTACTCGTAGTAACTATAATTCCAAAATAATGAAACTATTTTGAAGAATTGCAGGTTTCTTTATGTAATTTATTATAATTTGTGCTTCAAGATTATTAATTGCTACTATAATTTCCTTCTTTTTTTCATAACATGGATGAAAGAAAAATCATGAATGAGAAAAATAGAAACTAACTTAAAGTAAGGAGATTATACATAAAACTATTTCTAAACAAATTTTCCATGTAAAAACTATAAACAAATTATCACGAGATCCGAAGAAAATGATTTACTAATAAAACTAAAGGCACTTAGCGACCAAATGAAATCGTAATATTAATGTTCAATGAATTTATAAAAACTTAATGTAGGCAAAGATAATAATAAATTAACATCATTAATCTTTCTTTAAATTTATATTGCTGCCGACCCATAGTTGTTTTGTTTAAAACTTAAAATTCATAAAAACGAAACAAGCTTTTTATTGTTTAAACATTTTATGAAGTACATTGATTGGAGTTACTATTAAAACCGCTACAGCAGCTATTCTGTGATGCTTTCGTTCCAAGTGAACCTAATCCTATGGCATCCATGGAATTTTTATTAGCTGCTGATGTCCCATCCTTTCTGCGCGCCTGATCGATTAGTTCCGCCGCAATTTCGTAGAAGAGCCGTTCAACATTTTCAGCTTCCTTAGCAGAAGTTTCCAGAAAATACATATCATGCTGCTTAGCGAATTCTTCACCAATTTGTGTAGGAATTTCACGATCCTCCCGATCAGTTTTATTGCCGACTAGTATCTTCAAAACCTTGCAATTGGCATACTCTTGTATTTCGCGTAGCCAATCGGGCAAGCAATCAAATGTGGGCTGACAACTAATATCATAAACTAAGATCAAAGCATGTGCCGATCTGTAATAGCTCTGAGTAATTGAGCGAAATCTTTCCTGTCCAGCTGTATCCCAAATTTGTAACTATATAAACGTAAGTGAGCGATATTTTGTGATCCAACATTCGTGTTTTATTACCTTGATTTTATCGCCATCTACTTCAACAGTTTTAATCATAAAATCGACACCTATTGTTGCACCTTGGCCAGGCGGAAATAGACCTTGAGTGAAGCGTCTTACTAAACAGGTTTTTCCAACTCCTGCATTGCCCACCAAAACGATTTTAAACAAAAATTTGTAATCTTCCATTTTTGAAATTCCTGTAAAGTCAGTGAAAAGCGTTTATGTTCGTGTATGGAATAATTTGAATTAGAACCATTTTTAAACAGGTCCAATTGTGAACAGCTGACCCTTGTCTACTACGGTTTTTGACTACTTTTATTTTTAAACACTTTTGAACTTGATTTGCGAAAAACAGAACATGAATTATAACTTTAAGCTTATTGAGACCATCATTTTATTAAGTTTCTAATGCACTTTTGGTGTGTGAAAACCCAACTAGCATAATTAATGTGAAGCTATCAACCCATCCAATGTGTGGGTAATCTAAATGATATTAAATGCAAAGTTTATTATTCGGAATAAAGATTACCTTTTGTAGTATTCTTGAAAAGATCACCGTTATTTCTTATGCATTCTCTTGAAACCTCTATTTTCTAGTCACCAATAAAGGTAAATAACTAACTACACAGCTAAATGCACAGCAAATTCAGCAAGTTCGATGACTCATTCTCAACCAAAAATTTAAAAAGAAATAATTATTCCGCCTTTCGATTTCATAACTTCATTTCTTTGTTGAATCGTCTTTTCACTTTATTAATATTTGCACCCTTATCAAAGAAGATTTTAATAATTTTCTCAAAAATTCAATTGCAATCCATTTATTGGTAAACAAAACTGCCTCTTTACAATTATAGAGCTGACACAATATCGATACAAAAATAACAAAAGGAATTATATGTTAAAATGTTTTGTTTTGTGGTTTAGGAATAATTGAAACATCATAATAATAACTAATTTATTATTAAGTAATAATTTAAACATTCTTAAATTAGATTTCTCGCATTTTGATGAATTAAATTGTAGATATAAGAAAAAAATTAAATGAAAATCAAATTATATATGAATGAATATGTAACTGCAAGCCACCTCGTTTACCAACACCGAAATATGGTATATCGTAAATGTAAAGGTTTGTCTAGAATAATACACGATGTAAATTCTCGTACCATACGTGGCCGTTGCTGTAATTTTGGTACCATATGTGTTGTTGTTGTTGTAAATTCTTGACCTGCACGTGTTATTGTCATATTGTTACATTGTTATTGTTTACATATGCAAGGTAAAGCCATTCCCAATGTCGTTGCAAAGGTAAAGCCATTCCCAATTGTACTCAATTATTTATTTTTATCATTTATAAATTTCCATTTTTCAAATTACATTTTAATTTTAAAAAAAAATTTTAACCTACATTTAAATTATATTTATCCATTTCAGCGGAAGACGATTAAAATTCATTGTTTATTTATTATAAAATAAACACTTTAAGCAAAATCGGGCGAATTTACTTTCCACTATGTGTGATGGAATTCCTTTATGATAGATACGTTTTTCGTTATACGGATAAGCATCCGACAAAATTATCTAACTTTTGGTAGCTGGGAAAGAGGATCCAGCGATCGACATATTTTTTTTGAAATCAACCGCATTTAAACACATGAGTATACTCGTATAATCGTCACAAATAGAGAAATTAGGTAAACGACCTGACAAAACCTAAGCACATTTGTTTACTTTCTTTTTCTTGTTTTTCATATTATATGTTAAGCTACGCAAACAAGGATATTTACAATTTCACTATTTTCAGTCAGCTTAAAATGCAAAATATAACAGGAAAGAATTTATTTGTTTTTTTTTTATTCAACTCAGCACGTTATCTGCTGTCGATTTGCTGACTCACACAAGAAGAAGAGGAAGAAGAAGTAAACATATGTTTTTTGTTTCTCTTACGAAAAACATAATAAAAAGAAAATATTACAAAGAAGCGAAAAAATTCCGTTTTATTGCAAACAATGGAAAAGAGGATCGGTTTTTTGTGTGCGTGATGACAAGGGAGTGCGTTAATTTACTGACAGGCAAAAAGATTTTTTTTCGTTTTTTGTGTTGTTAGTGTAATTTTAATTTATATCAATTTAATTCCTTTATTAAAAAAAAAAGAAGTGTACTGCGAATTTACTACTCCGTTCGACGATTGTATTGATGTGCTTGCAACACATGTCTAGAAAACCAACCAAACCAAAGTTTGCATTAATGATCATAATCATCCGAGCTAAATTGTAATGTAACAACACTATTTATAATACGAAAAGTAAACGGTACTTAGAACTCGGATTCAGTAACTCGCCTTTCTTTTCAAGGTAATTTCTTTCTAACATTTATAGATACACCTTACACAGTTTCGTTTTAGGGCGAACTATCTGCTTGTTTGCGATCAGCACATATAAATTTTCAGTTAGATAAACGCACAAAAGTTTAGTCAATATCTGAACAATACAATATACACAAATATTAACATAAATCCTTATCGTGAAATAAAGACTATACAAACAAAAATTAAAAGTATATGTATGCAAATACATATAAGAGAATTGTGTGCAAGTCACGAAAATACTTGTGATTATCTAAATCATGCCTTGATCTTTTTACAACAGCTTCAATAACCTTCGACTCTATGCCTGCGCGTTTTAATTTTAAGTCAATTGTTGTTAATTTGATAAATTATGCAGTCATGCTCAATTAAACCACAAATAGATAATGCACCCTCACCACTTTCTTCGCCTTAAGAGATATTGAAGGTATGGCAGGCTCCACGCTTGTTTAAGTAATTATATGTTCAGTAGCAATTGTGTCTTGATGTTCAGATTTTGATTTTATCTCTCAATGAAAGTTTTATGTTAATTGAATGAAAAAGTTTATTGGCATGGTATATAGAGAAACTATATTTTATAACATTAAAGGTTTAAGAAATGGAACGTAAATAGTGATTTATTATGTATACGTTGAAGAGCGTTTTCGTTATAATTTGTCTTTTTTTAGACAATGGATAAAAAGCATCAAAATTTTTCCAATAAAAAGTTAAAAGCCAATGGTTTAAATGAAAAATCCGAAAAAAACAGTGAGTCTTGTTCTATTTCCACGGGCTCTCATTAGATATAAGAATTGCTCCATTTTTTAGTTTCACTTCTGGATTCCAGTAATACAAAAAAGGATTTGGAGTATGATTTGGTGCCTCCAGATGGCGGGTGGGGTTGGCTCGTTTTAGTTGGATCTATGCTGGTTAATATATTAATACCAGGAACTATTAAAAGTTTTGGTGTTCTTTTCATCGAATTTTTAGAAGCATTCCATGCTTCACCCGCAACGGCAGCCTGGATACCCGCTCTCTGTTATTTTTTATACAGCTCTCTAGGTAATTAATCATGGTTGAATTCTCCATTTAAAATCATTTACATAACGTTATTTTCTCCTAGGACCCGTGTCCAGTATTCTTTCAGTGAAATATTCGTACAGGACTGTTACTATACTGGGCGGGGCGTCGGCCGCCTTAGGTATGATTGCTTCATTTTGGGCTTCATCAGTCGCTTATTTGTACTTAAGGTAAGAATTTGAATTTTGATAAAAATTTCCATATAATAAAAGTTTTCGTAGTTACGGCGTTTTAGTTGGAATTGGCGCTGGTCTATCTTTTCCACCCACCGTTTATATAGTTACGTCCTATTTTGTGAAACTGCGTGGTCTTGCCAATGGTCTCTGTATATCGGGAAGTGCTTTGGGTTCAATTATATTGCCACCTGTTTTAAGATGGCTTTTGGAAACTTACGGCTACAGGTAAAGATTACGAGCAAGTAAAATTACAAAAAAGTTTATAATGTTTTCTTAGAGGCGCTGTTCTTATAATGGGGGGTGTGACTCTGAACGTGTTTGTAGCTGCTATTTTCTACGAGCCCGTTGAACAGCATATGATACGCGTACCCAGAGTAAATAAAACTTTAGAAAATATCGAAGAAGAAGATATAGGTATTGTCTTGGAGTTCGAAGCGGTGGATGTAACAGTTAATGAAACTCCCGGTCGTGCCGGCACTAATATATTAGATGATAATTTGCCTAATAAACAAATGTTACCGTATAGTACACCGCCTTTGCAGTCACCTGAATTGCAAAATTATGATCTAATGAACGACGATTCCCAATTTGTGAGAAGTGCTTCTGCTGCAGTTGTACAAAATTTCATTAAAAATCAAGATGATGTTAATAATTTATCACCCTCCTCACGCGTACGCAAAGTGAGCACTCCAGTGCGCTTGCCGCAACGAAATCAAACTTTTACGCCCGGCCAGCTAAACTCACAAGCGTCATTATATGTGGTGCCTGAGACGGGGAGATCAAGTAACAAATTAGAACGCCTTAACACTTTACGTAACAATTCAAAAAATCGTTTGTCACGCCGCTCCCCATCTACTAGCAGTTTTCAATATATTAGTACACCATATCACGGAAGTACACTTTCATTTCAGCCAAAGGAGTTTTCATCGCATCTTTCTTTGAAGTCGATTGCCAGCGGTAATGCAACCAATGCTTTGGCTGATGGTGTTTTAGAAAGCACTGCAAGTGTTGATGGTGAATCCCTTACAGGAAAGCGCACAAAATTTTTTGATCTTGGACTTTTGAAAGATCCTACCTATTTAGTTATATTAATTTCAAACTCAACAAATGCTATAGGATACACTAATTTTATAATTCTCTTGCCTGCTTATGGAGTAGCTTTGGGATTTGATAAGTCATTAGCGGCTTATTTGATTTCGATAGTGTCAGCTACGGATCTTATCGGACGAATTGGCGGTTCGGCGTTATCAGATTTAGGATTCATACCGAAAACTTGGTATTTTATTGGTGGCTTGGCCATTTCGGGAGTTTCTTTGGCGCTACTACCGTTTTCCATCAGCTATATGATGGTCAGTTTTTGGTGCGCTCTATTCGGTTTAGCTTCTGGAGTTTATGTAGGCATTACTGCTGTTATTATGGCGGATCTATTAGGGACTGAGCGTCTTACCTCCTCATACGGCATTAGTCTATTCGTTAACGGCATTTTACAGCTAATTGGTCCTCCTCTCTGCGGATTTTGGTTTGAAGCTGTGCAGAAATACAATCCGCTCTTCCATACACTCGGTCTCATCCTTATGGCGGGTGCTAGCTTATGGAGTTTTATGCCAATTATTAAACGCTACAAATATCAGCAAGAAGAAATGGAAGCAACAGAATGAACAAATGATTAAGAGATGATATATTTTTTATTTTATTTTTTAGTATTTTCCTTCTTGTTTTTTGCAAATGGAGCACGTACTTGAACTTAACCTTGTGCTCCATAAAAATGGAGTATAAATATGTAACTATATGTATACATAGGTATTTAGTTTGTATTTTATATTTGTATTCAATTCGCTTAGTCTAAGATTGAATAGTTAATAAATATTTTGTATACCAATAATAGTGATATTTTTTGCTTCCGTTTAATGAACAATTTTCTTTATTCCTTATAACAAATAAAGTTTAACACTGAGAATGCTTTGATAAGTCTGTTGATTAGTTTGAAAAATAAAGAATTAAGTTTTCGTCAAAGTGAAGACAAATGTCAGCTCATAACAGCACAAAGCAAAGAAATGTGTAATAATTTTCATGCCCATTATTCAGATGGTTTTCGTTTATTTCACACAGGCACATGCACCGAACAAATGTACGAAAATATTTACGTTCGAAAGACCTGTATATAATATCAAATGAGGGCGATCTGCTTCGATCGTTTTCATTATTGATTCATGCTCATCAGAAGCGTGGGTTAGATGTGTATCTCCTTATGCGCTTGCTTTCAAACGATAACAAACTCATTTCCACTTTTCCATTTGAATGTCTGGTAGAGACTCTTTGCTTTTTACTATTTATTTGCCTTTAGTGTGCAGTTTGTATTTCGATAAATATAACGAGCTACATATTTCATATCCTTTATAAAAATTTCAGCTTTACAACGAAATGAATAAAACATTTCAAGTAAAAAGTAGTCAATTTTTTCAATTATTTGTAAATAAATATTTTGGTATTTAATAGTATTTATTTATTCTTATATAATATGAATACAAATATATGATTTTTTCACTTTTCCTTAAAATTAAGTTTTTAAAAAGCCTTTTGAACGCATGTACCGTACAATGAATGGAGCCGATGCCAATGTTACGCTGATACGAACGGGGGCAAAAATTTTGTGGACAGCGTACGCTATCACAAAATTACTCGCTCCAATGGCACTCTTATTAAGGCTTGAAGAGATAAATTCAAAGCGCTGTAGTAGACCCACAATGTCTATACCGCTGAAATAATGAAAAGCAATGAAAAATAGTCTTCTATTTATTTCAAAACTATAGTTGTTTTTATATATTATATATTTTTTATTTGGTCTTGATTTTGATCAACGTTTCGCAGAACGAAATCAAAATGGTCCCGAATTGTTTGTTAAATTCATGGGTTATGAAATTTGATTATTTGGATTTGAAATCATGACTAAGCAACTCTTTTTTTACTGAGAGAAAGGGCGTTACCCTGAAAAAGTTAATATGTTTTAGATTGCGGTAGAAATAATCAAACTATTCTGAATTCGAAATCTCGAAGTTATTAATGAAAACAGTTTGACATTTTGTAAATCGAATTACGTACATTACTTATTTACTGAGGCAATAGATAATATATATTTATAAGATAAGATATATTTACCCTTAGTTTGTATAAAATAGTAAGTTATGATCGGTATTAACGATATTCCCGAGAGAGAAAACTGAAACTTTACATTTATATTCAGTGGTATATCTAGAAACTGAAACCAATAATAACAAAAGAATTAAAAAGAAAAAAATACCAAATGAAAATACTATAGCGGGATACGGACCACTATTAAATACTGTGGCCCACGTTTAATGCAGTTATTCATATAACGACCTTTCAAAATGACCCTTTATATGGCGAATGATCGAAAAAGTGACCATATCCGAAACATGAATATGGATAGCGTCCGTTCTTAGGCCAAAACTTGTCGGTGTAGAAAATTTCATCAAAAGAGTCATTCGGCCGGTAGGAATCGATCGGTGTAATAAAAGTGGGTCTATTTCCAAGTCTATCTCGGTGTTACATACATCCGTACAAACTTAATATACCCATGGACCAAAAGTAGTATGACATAAAAAAGTTTGAAATGTACTGACTATGCCAGGTGTAGGACAAAGATTGAGTTCAGTGCATTCCATTGTTATAACATCACTATGAGACGATCACATTTTTGGCGAACGTAAAGACAAGAACGTGCACGAACATTTATCTTTCGTTAATGCGAATATACTATGAATGAAATGAAATTTAAATACTTTAGTTCCTACTTACCTAGTAATTAAAATGTAAAAACCTCCTAATGACATAAGCGATATAACCACATGAAATGCCACTATCGTCGATCCATATTCTTTAAAGGCTTTTTTTAGTTGCTCTTTCTTACTTAATACCTGTGGCTCAGTACTATAATTACATTTTCTCATGTCAAACCACACAGATGCTACATATGTACAAATATGAAATGCTGGTTAAGTTATATTAGCTTTAGGACCACAATATCCAGTTGGGGACGATTTTTGAATTTTGATTTGAATTACTTTCAATTCCTATGAAGTTCAATACTTTCATCGAAAGATCAAAGTTAACTGGACATTATGGAAGCATTTTTTAAAATGAGATTAAGTAATCCCGTTGTGAATGAGTGTAATTTTTCATGAAAATGTGATTGAAACGTTCTTTAATACATATTGAATTCTTACCCGTATTTTTCAAAATACCAGCGCAGTTTGCTTCATAGTTAAACCAATTGGCGCGCGTATTGTTCCGCAAAGCCGCATAGTGTGAGCTTTGCAGGTTTTGCGAAGTTATTTTGCATTCCTGTGACCACTGGCCGCCCGGCATATTTAAATGTGAATATTTCTGCATACCACTAAACGGTATCGGCACATTGCTTTGCATGACCGAACAAAGACTAATTGGACCAAAGCAGTCATATGATTTAACATGAGGATCTTCCACAATGAAATTTTCATTACTTTGTGAATTGTCAGTCGTTATATCAATGCCAGATTGGGTTATCTCAAGATGTTGTTGGGTTAATGTTAGTATAGCTGATATTTCTCGACTACGATGCGGCGAAAAACGGGTACTTTCTGCGGCATCGACGTTAACGGGTAAAGGTACCGGCTCAACGACGGTCGTATAGGTGCGTAAAGATGGCAATTTAAAGCAAGAAACTAAAAATCGAAACAATTAATTGACAATGTATCTTCGAACAGGTTCCGCGTTCACAGCTTGCATTATAAAGCAAGTTATTTAAAATATTATTCCGATTTTAATTCTTTGAAAGCATTTTGTAGTTCACTCTCAGCGACATCGATTAATTTTGATAAGCTATATCGAAATACAAACTCTTATCTCATAAGTCATCTGGCTTTTTCGTTTCATTACTGTTTAGATTACACTTAATTCACTGCTATATTAGCCTCCTTCAAGAAAACTGCTTTGATCCAGTTTTTTCTTTCTTTTCAAAGATCGCATGGACAATGATGATAATCAGCACATAAGAATTCCAGGCAAATACGTATTTTGTTTACCTTTGAGAGCGGTATGAGTGTTTTACGCAAGTATTGGTTAGAATAAGCGAATTTTTCGGACAATTAAATTTTCAGTGAAAAACGTCTAGGTAAAGTAAAATGTATATTTGCGTCAATGAAAACTATTACTATTACTAATAACTTCTAAATTGGTTTAAGTATCTATTTCCGGTTGACTATTGGTATTTTCTTCCCCTCAATTCCATCAGCGCACAGATGTAGACGACATATAAAGGACGAATCTATATTGCAGATGCTATTTTTTTTGCAATGAAACCTTTATATCTGAGTCTAATATTAGGTAAATTTTTTTTGTACTATTTTTGACCTAACTGTAATGTAGAGCGATTTTATTGATTAATTTCTAACTACTTTAAAGCACTTTTTTTGATTTAATGCTATTAGGATTGTGCATATGGTATATGTAAATGACTTTCACACCCAAACCTCAACGAGTTAGGAGAAAACATGGTAGAAAGCAGACATGCCCTTTCCTTTGTAGCATCCCAGAAACGATGTGGCATATATATATTAAAAACGATCAGCGTAAGACTCTATCCGTTTACTTATTCTTCATTTTTCGTAAGCATACTTTCGCGGAGAACTGAGGTGGCAAAGTTGATGATTAGTCCATCGTTGCCAATCAATCAAATATCGCACGAAAAACCTTTAATGTGCATACCCAGATGAGGATACAGGCAGGCAGACATGAAACAGGCAAAAAAGTTATCAATTTACTGATCAATTCAATTCTTTAAGTCTGGATGACTTCCTACGCGATATTAATAAAAACAAATGTTCGTAAAGATAATTAAAAATTTTTTTTTCATTTTTGATATATATAGAAAACGAATGAACTAAGGCAACGAAATACGTTTCGAATACGTATATACGTCCAGACTGGTAGTAATTTTAAATTTCAACGCAAAATAATGAGTGAACAGGAGAAATTCTATTTGTGTAAAACAAGATTTTTTGGCAACTAATACTTTCGTTTTTTTTTTTTTTTATTTGTTTAAGATAACTGAATTAGGCCTGTTAGTAGGAAGACCTACATATCGAGTAACGTCATTTTCAATTATTGATATAAATTGTTCTTTTCATTTAGTAGTTGACGGCAAGAAGTTAAAATGGTCTTCAGCAAAAATTGATGATGCAGATCCTCCTTTATTCGTCAGCAAAGTTGTTCAGTTAAGTTAATTCCGGACTTATTTTCAGAGCAATAACGTTTATTAATTACTATATTTATTTTATATATATATATCTTATGCGTTTATTATTTTTGGGAAATTTAAATGATTGTTATGTTTTTTTTGATGCTAATATGAGCGAATTTTTAATTTTTTCATAAAATTAATTAATAAGTTTGTAAAAGCTCTATTCAATAAATTAGCATATTGTGTTATTTGCGCAAATCTGTACAGCAATATTTGAAATAATAAGAGAAGAAGAGATGACAATTTTTTTTTACTTACTCGCAAGTCCTTTGTCAGCACAAACATATCCCATTTTACTCAAACAATGGCCAGAGCACGAAACATTTCGTAAAGAACTGAACATTTTCACGAATTTTCTTGGAATTGATGTGAATTTAATTTCGAGACAAAACAATTACAATTGATCGAACAAAGAATTTTAACTGCAGAATATAAATTGCAAATAAAGTCCACTTAATAATGAAAACAGTAAACAGCAGAGAAACCAGCTGGTTCGTATAGAGAGAGATTTCGTAGAGAGACTACTCGTCCGTTATTTTCTACAATTGTTTTATAGCTGCCCGTTGCGGATGTAGAGAAATTAAATTCGTGCAGATTAAATATGAAAGAAACAGGCTTTGTCAAATAAACACATTTCAATTTTTAATCTTAAGAAATACCTAAAAAGTAAATAATGTTTTAGAAATTGTTGGTTCCAGTTTTGTATGATGTACTGATTATCTTCACTTGTTCTCACCATATCCAGTTGGCATAGGCCGAACGAATGCCTGCATCAAATTTTCCCGGAAAACCCAAAGGAAACTCGTAATATTCGCTTTTTTCTGAAGTTATTCGTTCGACTATTCCGCTATTATTTTTATGTTATGTAGGTATGTGGTGGAGGTCCATCTTCGTTTGTATGAGAAATGAAGGTCCATATTCTGTTAGTGTGACAACTGAAAGTCCGTATTCTGTTAGTGTGAGAATTTTGTATTCCTTTCTCTCAAAATTTGAGAGAAATAAAAAACGAGAAAAAACGAGGAGTAGGCAAGCAATTTTTTCGCTGTCACGTCCTATTTAGATAAACTGCGCGACATCTATAAAAATGAATGATTCTGTATGCAAATTCTGTATACAAATTTGATTCCAGGATAACTTATAAGGATAACAGGTGAGAGAATAAAAAAATTTTTCCGGCCTATTTTAAAGGATGTGTCAACCTTCGTTTTCATTACCGAAAACTCAAAGAGCTTGAGCAGAGCGCTTATCTTCGTTATATAATAACTTCCCCATTTTTGCGAAGCGCGATAAATTGCAATATATTATTTTCAGTTGATGTGACATGGTACAAGTGTAAAGATGAACCTTATATCTTAAACCCTGTGGGATGAAAAACGTCTATCCTCTTTCCCTTCTAATTGTTGTTGATCGTTCTCTATCAGATGTTTTATTATTTTGATTAAAGATTAAAATTAATAACATACGGTATTTGTGGAACTTGGGAGGTTGTGGAACTCGGGAGGTTTATATAAACTAATGCTTTATGTGAAATTCAAAGCAAAAGATGATGGACTGTTACTCTCTGCTGGTTCTTTTAGATTGTTCCGATATAAGTCCAAAACGTGATGGCATATATCTTCCAGAATGTCCATTGTAACACCTTGAACAAACCATCGAACCTGCTGTGGCTGGCGAACTACCCATTTACTAGCCAAACGGGTTAAGGCTACTGCAATAATTTCTGGCTCACACTGCATGAAGATTACCATACTCAGTGAGTCATTAACAAAACTCCAAGCCATTTGTACCATTTTCTACAACTTTAGTTGATCGCCCTGGCCATTTAGCATAGGCTTTATAAATTTGCCGACTTGGGAGACTGATGAAATGAGCGAGTCTGTATATACAATTTCTTCATATAAATTTGCCGACTTGAGAGACGGATGAAATGAGCGAGTCTGTACATACAATTTCTTCATATAAATTTGCCGACTTAAGAGACTGATCAAATGAGCGAGTTTGTACATACAATTTCTTCATATAAATTTGGCGAATTAAGAGACTGATCAAATGAGCGAGTAAAATGAGGCGGCAGAGTCGACAACAACGAATTTATAACAACACTAACATACGTAAAAAAGCAGTGAGAATAGGAGAAGTATAGAGATTGTGTATTTAACGAACACGATGCTACTATTAAAGTAGATTTTACTCTCAGAAAAAGCGCATTTATAAAAAAAAATGCAGCAAATTAAATTTTTAAATTTTTTGCAAATTATCACCCGATGAGTATCCATTCGCTTCTACGGCGTATGTAATAGGGTTGGTAAGCGGATTTATGGGCCAACCACGCGGACCGGTATGTACACTGAACCGTGTAAAGCAATTTTTCTCAAGTCTGATGAATTGTGCTCCGCTAGCGTTAATAAACATCGAAATATTTCTCAAAGCCAAACCTATTTATGTTGCTGCACATGCGTATTCCCTAATACCATTAGGAATCGATATAATGGCGAATCAGTTCGGTGACAAATTTGATGCTAAGATATGTACAATTGTAAAATTTTTGAATCACTTAAACATGGGTTCGCTGATTGCAATCTCAATACTTGAAAAGAATTGTACGTATTCCTTCATCATGCTATCATACTTAATGACTCAAGTGAGTTTGACGTGCGGCCTTTGCGCTACAAGAGCGCTAAACGAAAAGATGTATGTGATACTCGTGGCCCTTTTCCTGTTCGCATGTACAGAAATCGTGGGCGATAAACACTACCTTGGGAATGACTGTTGCAAAGTCTATTAGTTTGTCATGGGTTTTTACATCAGGGAGGTACACATACTATACCGATTTCATATATTTTTTAAACTTAAGTAAAGCATTCAGTCGCAGAGAATGTGCTTTATAGTGAGAGTTTGTCCACAACTGCAGATTGGGGAGGAAGACTTCTTCAAGATCCATTGGTGAGGTGCAATTGTATGACCAAGGTGAATTCTCGAAAATGTTTGGATCTTGGTTTTCTCAACATTTGTAGGATAAAAAGGTGGAGATAATTGAGGGTTAATGGAAGAGTAGTGTCAATGATGGTATTGTAAATTTCCTTCTGCAATTTTCTCTTTAACTTTTCTTCCAATGTATCTTTGAAGATCCAACTTTTCCATGACATCATCCATAATTAGAGGAGCAGAAGCAGCATACTTTGCCGCTCGATCAGCCTGCTCATTTCCCAATAAACCGATGTAACTTAGTACCCATAACATTTTAATTTTTCCGTCGGGTGTAGTAATTATATTCCTTAATTTGTTGATGGGGCTCCATCTCGAAGTCGAAGGGTTCCGAATAGCTTGTAATACAGACAAACTGCCGGTAACAATGACGGTTTGCAAACAGATTAAATCCATTTGAGTTTTTATCTGGCGGCCCCGGGGCCATTATGCCTTATGGTTGTCTATTATTTAGTAAATTGGGAAATAACCACTCACTTGATGAGGTTTGGGAAGTGCTGAGGATAATGACAATTGTTTTCAATATTTTATTTTTCTTTTATGTTTTTTGTTTTTTTGATTTTTTTATTATATTTACGGAAAACGAAAGCAAATATCGTATCTGCGATAATCAGTTTTTGCAAAACCACAGAAAACACACGAGTTAAACACACAAAAACACCGAAAACAAATACAAAATCGCAGACGAAAAACAAAACGGGCACTACTCAGAACACAAGTCGATGTCGAATTGTTATAAGTAATTAATTGTTAGGTTTTTTGTGAGCTGAAAAAAATTTCTTTGATTATTATTAAGGTAATGGTATGGTTAGCATTGCACCCATTTGTGCAAACTACGCTATATACGGCTTCGCTACCAAGGTGATCTCGAAATCAAGACGGCTAGAGAGAGCAGATGGAGAGGCAAAGAAAGCTAATAGGGTACTCCACTAAGTTGCCACTTGGAGCGCACTAATTGCAACCAGCCTTCGTGAAGTAACATCTAACGGTGATTCCGTGGAGGAAAGGAAAAAGAATACCGTTATTGTGTAAATTATTGCTCTCTTGCAAAGGAAAAAGCAGACTGACTGTAACACCTTACGTCCATATAGTAACATCGAAAAATGCATTCCAGTGCAAATTGCAAGCTTGTAATTGTAAGTTTGAAGCAGAAGATATTTATTGAGAGATTTTTGAATGGCAGCCTGGTATATATGGTAATGTAGGGTTTGCCCAGAAAAATCCAAAAAATATGCAAAAGTAAGTAGGCTTGCAAAATGTTGAACAGCAAATGTCACGTACACCAAAGGCTCGAGCTGAAATAATCGCCGCATTAACCTACAATTATTGCCTAGTGGTCCAACGAGCTTAGTTATGAAAAGTCTATACGTGTGCTTAGTTAGATCAATACTTGACTATACCTCTCAAAAGCAATTCTTGCGATTGCTCTTAGGAATTTGGATTCGGACCCGCTTGTCTGTCTGCCTTCTTACGAAAAGAATTTGCTTCTGTTATCCTTAGCGTCACTTGAGAAACGTAAATTTATTCCTGGCGTTTCCTTTCTAATTAAGGTAATTAACTCATTAACACGTTACTTGCGAAGATAGGCTTTAATGTTCCTAATCGCATCTCTAAGTCCTATATTTTTATTATGTCTAGTCAATGTAAATATAATTTTGAGCTGTTTAATCCATTCAGAGCTCTTTGGAGACACCTAATTGATGTCTGCTGCTTAATACAGGCGATTTGCCTACATCTGTATTTCAACTTACTTGCAATCTCAATATCTCGCTATGATGCGAAAATTAACTGGTGTCGTTTACTGCTATCAATTGTCAAGCCAAGGGTTCACTTGCAACTTGGTTATGTAATGGGTGTGGGTATGCCTCTGAACTAGTTGTGTGTATCCTTTTTTCCCTCTTTTCTCTATTTACACATGAATTTTATTCTCCCCTTTTCGTTTCACCTTTAATTCTTTTTATACACGTTGGATTAATTTTTAATAATAATTATAAGATTTACTTCTAAGTGTCAATTGAATTCGGCTATTAATTTATTTTAGCTGAGTTTCATGTGTAAATAAGTAAATAAATAAAAAATGATCCTAAATAAGCAAAATTTTTGAAACTATTTTAAGTGTAAAAACAGTATCTAAATAAAGAATATTGGTCCCAATAGTTGAAGCAAGCTTGTCTTGGTATTCCATATAACGTTTTTAGCACAGTTCTTTTAATATTAGAAACAACCAAGAAGCGCTTTGCCTTAGCGGAAGCAGGGGAGGAATACTCTTGACACTATCCACATTAGTTTCCTCAAGTTCTTTCATGTTACAGGCATAAGATCCATGGGATATCATTTCACTATATGGATTTTCAGTAAAGGCGAGTAAAGGCGAATCCTGTGTCTAAAATAACGTGATGAGAGTTTTTTTTTTTCGTACAAAGCACTAAACACTACAAAACCTAAGATGTTATCGCTTCGACAGTATAATAAAATGGCTCAGCCTTTCAACGATGACAAGACGGCTAAGGCTGTTATACGGGGCTTTAAAAGTCCAGACGTGCTTGCGATCAAACGATTAAATACTTCGAATTTAGTAAAAATAAAAACAATTATCGGCGAATTTCTTCTACAACGTACTATTAAATTTCAAACAATGCGCAAAAAATGGCAGCTCTGTTAAATGGTTAAATGGTAACGCCACTGTGTTATCTAACGGACCAAATTATCTAACGGACCAAATTATCTAACGACCAAATTATCTTCTACTAAAACAGAGTGGTTAAAAGTGTACTTCTTATAACGTTTGCCAGAATTGTGTTTTTAACATGCGCATGAAAGTGTTTTCAGTCAAGTTCTCTGGACATTGTAGTGGAAGAGCGTAACTATATTCGGCAAAAAAAAAAGAAAGTTGTATAAATCCCAAAGAATGATAACGCAGAATGCTTAATACGAAAGCAAACTCTTCGTTTAATCTTCTGAACTATTGTCTCCTCTAACCAACACTAACTTTAACTTTAACTTCTTCTGGCTCTGTTTAGATTAGTTTAGCACCATTCTCCCATGACATTACCTTTGTTAAAACAAACGAAAAATTAGCAGGAGCTTTTTAAATGGGGTTTTATTATAATTATTACAAAAATGATACAAAGGGACTCTTAAAGATTCTAATTCGTATGTATATTATAAATCTGATTTGTCTTATTTTTCTAATGCTACAAAAACTACTTAAGCCTATTGTGTGCATTATGAAAAGACACAATTAATTAAATAATTAAGTAAGTGTTTAAATATTTTCTACCAAAATTATGTAATTATACCCTCAATATATGAATCACTCGTATTTCCTCCAAATTTTTTTTTAAAAGAATCTTGTGTGCGCAAAAAATAAATAAGTAGTAATAATAACGAAGAGCAACTTAAATTTTTTCCTATGCAGAAACAACATTTTTTCTTAAAACTTTACTTACATTTTTAAATATCTGACAATTATTTACCTATCTCGAGGGCTGTTTTACACTCATGCTCAGCTATGCTATGTTGTATACAATGATTGATTTCCTTAAAACTTGGTCTATCGCTGGTCTTACGATTCCAACAGCGTCTCATTAAAGCGTACACCGGTAAGGGCGTATTTTCCGGACAACCTAAGACATTACCATCCTTAATGTATTTGATTACTTCTTCATGGGTCATCCCGTAATATAGTTGAAGAGTGTAAGAAAAAATCTCCCACAAACAGATTCCATAGGCCCAAACATCTGATTCTATGGAAAACTTATTGTGTAATATACATTCTAGCGGCATCCAATGTATAGGTATAACATCATGCTCATCTCCTTTGTAGTAGCCTTGTAAGTAAATCTTAAACCAAAGTCGGCAATTTTCACTATCATGTGCTCCTTGTAGCCAAGTCACGATGTACAAATTTGCGTTTTGATAAATAAACCATGACGGCCGCTATATGTGCGGCTATTTGTAACAGATGTGCTTCATTTAACGGTTTACGTTCGTGCTCGCGATGGTTGCTACGGTGAACAAGAGCGTAGAAACTCACTAAGGCCTCACTAAGATTACCGGGCGACATAAATTGAAAAAGTAAACACATGGGTCTTCCCAAAGCACACACCCCCAATTTTTATACAAATTATTGAGAACATATACGCTTATTCAAATTCCCAACATTTGTCCATTCAAAGAGGACATACTTAGATTGATGCAGAATTTGATGTTCATCAAGAATATACGTACTATGTGGGGTCACAAAACGGGTTTTCAGCTTCAGTTACTCAATTGCATTCAATTGATAAAAAAAAAAAAAACTAGAAAAACTATATTGGTCCACGGCCTAACGTTAAACGCTCTCTGTCATTCATATAATGACCTTTCAAAAAAGGTTTTATGTAGGAAGCGGTCGAAAAAGTAGTCATATCCGAACAAGTTTAGCATTCGTCTTTGGGCTAAGACAAGTTTCATGAAAATATATCAAAAAAGTGGGTCTGTAGACGGACATACCAGCAGGCACGATTGAAAAATTGATTCTGAATCGATCGGTATAAAAAACTATATGCTTCCAGTGGTGTTTGGTTAATAAGACAAGTTTGCTTGACTAACTTAACTAGATATTCCCCAACTTTTTGACGACTTTTATTTGCACGGGAAGAGCTTTCAACACATATAACTGAACTTTTCCTGAACGGAACACCTTTCAAAATGCGACATATCACACTCTCTATCAAATGGAATCCATTTAATCTCTTTTCGTTGTGGAAATTGACACAATTCTAAAAACGAAAAAAGAAAATTGAAATTTCCAATTGAATACACGCTGATCGATTAAGGATCTATGGTTAAAAAATACTAGGTGTAATCTACACTACCACCTCTTGTGTGTTTGTGATGCTGGTTATATAAGTGAATTAAACACAAGTAAAGGCGTATTGGAGGAAAGCCCAAAACACCATATTACGTGATTCAAATTTAGCAAACTTGATTTACTTTTCAACAATTTTGTTATTTTTCAGTTTCCGTCATAGAAGATTAGAAATTATATTTCTCTCCACACAAGGCCCTGCCTTTCCTAATAATCCTTATCTATCTTAGTGTCTAAAAAATAGATCTCTGCGACTCAAATTTGTTACGGAACCTTTTGTTAAGCTGGTACTATTAACGAATTTTTATCATAAACCATTAACGATTACGCCTTTTTGGCACATAAGAGCTTAGATTTCCTAAGAATCCTTATACGTACTGGCATCCAAAAAATAGACCTACTTGATCCAAATTCGGTAAGGTTAATTTGTATGTCCAATTACTATTATGCACTAATTACTATATCGATCAGCCACCATGAAATATTGAAAATTAGATCTTTTGACCTTTTTATAGAGGGGGTTCGAAAACTGGATCCTGCTAAATATATACTTATACTAATTTAAAATGTCGATTTCTCATCCGAATGTATATTACTCGGCTATTTTTGTTGAGAAATGTTAAAAATTGCAATTTCTTTCCGTATACTGATTTTCCTAAATAAGCCCCCAGAAGAGGAGTAGTCAAAAATATGGACATTTTCGGTAGCGTTCGTCCTTTGGATAAAAATCAGTTAAAATATCGTAAAAATTTCGACCTGTAGCTTAAACAAAAATTACGTGGAGAGTTATAAGACGGATAGACAGGCTTAGAGCAATTTAGAAATGATTATGAATTCAGAAAATGATTCCGAAAGAAGATGAGAGACCTTAACCGGGTCCGTCATCTATATGGCCGCGTGTATAATTACTAATTGAGCGCATAATGAAAAACAAACTAACTTGCTAAACAGCTATATTTTATCAGGGCAAAGTTGCATTCTTTGACTTAGCATGGATGTGGATTAGAACAACAAGATTTCATTCCTAGTCTAGTCGCTGAACAGCACGAAACCTTACCTGAACTAAGGTTTATTTATGTACCTACCACCAGAGGGGTTTTTTTATCGCGTTAGCTGAAGAGCTGCTCGGTTTTTGATGAGAAAATGGATCATATTTTCTGCCATTTCACAAACTTGCGGCACCTTCTCTTGGCAGCGTGATTTAAAGAAACTGAAGTAAAATATATTTGTTCAAAAATTAGCATTAGTAACTTAAAAAGTCTTCAAACACCTAAATCTTGTTTATGTTCACCTTGTTCTAACTTGTTGCGAAAGAAATGGAGATCTTTTCGCTTCGCCAATTGTAGATATTGGTAAGAAATCCTCTCCTCTTAACGAACTGGATTTTCAAACCTTGGATGTTTTAAGCGTTCAAGAATTTCGTAAAAGTTTTCCGCGAATACGTTGAGAGAACATTCCTGAGTGCTGATTAAAGTCGCAGAAAAGTTGAAAGGGGTTGCTTTTAGGGTGATAAAATAATAAAAACTGTTTAAATAAATGATGCGCTAAAAACGATTGGTTTTAATTAAATTCAATTATTGTCAACGAATCCTGTAAAATGAGTAAGTCGGAGAATGCATTTTCAAAGCATTAAAAGCTACTTATTTAGTGTGATCTGGTAAACTATTTCTATAATGATGTACTGGTGGAAAATTGAGGAATAAAGAAAATTAAAAGCAATTGAAAATATTGTAAGCAATATTTATTTTTATACCCATCACTGTAAGATGTGGGTGTACTCATTTTGTTTTTTGAAGATATCAACTTCAAATTTGGTAGAAACATTGGATTTTGGTATTGAAGAGGGGCCAAATTCGTGTGAGCAGAAGTTCGCAATGAAGCGTAAACTGAACGCAGCCCAGTTTTTCTGAACAAAAAATTTTTGAGTTTTTGCTCGTTACTCGGAAATTATTAAAGTTAGAAGGTTGATGATCTCCGCATTTGCTTTACGAGAAACTTTCTCTCTAGGTCCAAAAATTAAACCAATCGGCCGTGACCACACAAAGTTACGAATAATTAAATTTACTTCTTTTTGGAGGTTCAATGCCTACTCATCATATAGCGAACAAGACAAAATGTTTAAAACTATTTTGTACACTCCTCAAATGAAGATATATTATCTGCCTAAAATTGTCTTAATTTCAAAGTGATTATGGTAAACAACGCGATTAATTATAATACCAGCGATGTGGGTGTCAAATAAAATAACTTGGAGAGTAGAATGTGAAAAGCACAGAGGAGGGTATGCGCGATTCGAGCCCATTGAATCCTTAAGACTTTAGTTACAATAAAAATTATTAAAATATCTCATAGACCTCTAATGTTCTTCTGATTTACAACTCATTGCGATCTCACTGAATGCATATATTTTTTTTCAGCCGATGGCAAGGACACGATAAATTACACAGAAGGAAGGAACAAACCGATCATCAACGATTCAGATTAAATTGACAAGAAGACAAACAAAAGAAAACGACCTGTACATGTGTGCTCCGTTATGTCTCCGCAATTTAATCGATATAAGCAGGAAAGATGAAACGTACATGCACAGTAGGCTAGGTATGGCAAATTGTGCAAAAATCACTGCATACGAAAATGATATGAAAACATTAGTTGATATCATATGGTGACTTAACATGCCAACTACACTGAAAGATCACTTTTGATTTACTAACAAAGCGAGTTTGTGATTAGGTCGACGTGTGACATCCTTCATAGTTCTAACTTCACTAACTCTGTTTTTACCGTCTCGACCAGAAATAACGTCGACTATTCTACCCAAATATAGTGTTGTCTTCATGCCGCAAAACACCAAAAGCAAAGCTATGGCTGGAGTTATTCCCTGTTTATAATTCGTTGATGTATTCATGCGACCATTTCGTTCAGAAGCGTTATTAAAAAGCATTGATTTGAACATAATGTTTCGAATTGTTTATATTTTTTAAAGAGACATCTCGTTTACGAACATATCGCAATGTACTTCGGGTTATGAAATGGTCGAAGCCTTTAAAATCGCTACAGTTACGTGGAAGCATTCAGATTTGTCATGCATTTGGGATCGCTTAGGTTTCAGTTAGGGATGTCACAAGTTCTGTATAGGTTAGGCGAATACTAGCGGGATTTCGCGATGAGCCTTGGCTAATTTGACAGCGGCATCCCATAGGCTACCAAAGTATGGTGCCCGAGAGGGGGTGGGGGAATTAAGCAAATATTAATAAATTTACTAGAACAAAAACTGATAATAAGACTTTAATTCTGGCCTGCAAATTGTTTGTTGAACGTTTTCAGCTTCAAGTTTGCCCCTACAAAGTCAGTGCCGTTGTCGCATATATCAGTTGGCAAGCCCCGTTCTCGAATTTTTTCAGAGCAGGGATGAAGGTATCTGTTGCGAGACAAACAGAAACATTGGTATACGTTTTCTACGCAATTTAGCCCAGTCTGGGAAGATAAGTGTCCACAGAACCACAAAAACCAACGGCACAACTGCCAAATGCTTTTATTAAAAATAACTCTAAGCTTTGTTAAAGTATTATCGGGCTTAAAAATACAATTTTGAGGAATGTAGTAATAAGGTTCATTCAACTTAGGCCTCCTCTCCAAACTCGTGCATTCAAAATCTTCATATTCTATCATGAAAGCCAAAGATTTTGTTTTCAGGTTGAAATCTCGACACAGGCGTCGTTCCAAAGCGGTACTTCAAAATCAATTAAGAGCGATTTGAACTTTGTAGACCACCTATGCTTCATTGTTGTAAACAAATTTCCAATTCCAGAGACATCAACGGATTTTTGTACTTTTTGCAAATTTCATGGTTTTACGGTTTTATCGATTGCGAAATTCAATTGAGACCAAGGATAGAAGAGCGCTCTTCCGAGTTACCTTGAATATGGCAATTGCAAGAAGTATACAAGGAGATGATCCTTCCATATTCGCATGAACGGAACCAGATGATTCATCGGCGACAGCATCAGATCTTGACGGCGTTGTAGCGATGAATCCATTTGAGTGTGGTGGCGGAATGTGCGATGAGAGCGAGAGCATATTTTCGCTTAAACGACAAGGGAAAGCCTTTAACTCAATGTCCTTCAGCAAGACAATTTATGCAAAGGACAAAGTTCTTCAAATTGCAAATCGAAGTGCCACATACAAATCTTCAAAACGCCTGCGTTGACTTTAACTTTAGTCAGATTTGGAGCAAAACCTATATATATCGAAGTTTTGACAATTTTCGGTTTGATTTTCCACAATAATGATTAGATCTTAGCGAGAAGCAGCAGTTGAGTACAATGACTCTAAATATTGGATATCATGTTCCAAGTCCCAAGTAAGCAATTCAATGAAATCCAAAGAATCGTTATATTGTTTTTTAGCGTCAATATCAACCTTTTCCATTATAGTACAATCAAGCATTGACTATGTCAGTCGATGAGTCCTGGGATTGCAATGAACTATAAATTGCGGAGACGTTATCAACAAGGACTCTTAATTGGCCAGCGTTAGATTTGGAAACATCAAAAAGCTCAAAAATTTTCGTGATATTTTTCATGTATATCAGCCAGCTGGGGTCATTTTTGTTGCTTACTTGGAAGGTCTTTATTGTATCTAATGCATGGCCTCGGAGACGGTTTAAGACATGACTGACTTGTTCGTTGTTCAAAACGTCCTAAATACGATCACCAATTTGAGTAACTGACGTTACGAAGTTTTTATAGTCACTGCACTTTCCACTAAAGCTGGGCTATTCAAGGCGAGGCAGCTTATTTGTGAAAACTGGGACTCTACACGATGGTTCAGAAAATTTCGCATTGTTTCCTATCTCAGATCGGTGTTGTTGTAGCTAAGAATTAATGTAATCGTAAAAGTCTTCGATGTCTGCGCGTACATTATCATTTGGATCAATGTTCTCGATTTTGTTTTGGTGGGAAACTATTTGCTTGAAATAGGACTTTAAAATTCGCAAGCTGTACCTTAATTTCTTTGAAGAAATTGGTTTAGGTTCACCTTTTGCATTTGCTATGATGACAATTTTGAAATAGTTTCTTTGTGATGATATGCCGCTGCTTCAATTCCTCAAAACTCATAATTTAGAAAACAGCGAGTTCGCTGGACATAGTACAAAAAAAAAAAAAAAAAATTTATGTTGAATGTAGTTATGTGACCGCTTCATTTGTCAAATCAACGAAGCGAATGGACAAGGACTCTGAATCTTTCCGCTTGTCGTTTCCGGGATTGCTGTCATCTTGAATTATAGGAGTAAATAATGTTAACTTCAAAAAAAAATTGGAAGTGTCCCTAATGGCAGGTTAAGTGACGTTTACATCGCTTAGACGGCAATAGATAGAATTAGATAGAATTATTCTCAATTTTGATCTCTGTCGCATTTCGTCTTCTGGAGATATGGCACAGTATAAACATCAAGTTGAACATTACATCCTGAGGCCTATGATATGCAAAAATTGCCAAAGCCTTAACCACAAAGTAAAAGAATGACATGATGATCAGGCACATTATGCGTCAACTGCGATAATCATCATTCGGCTTTAGAGGACGACTAGCTTCGATATTTACAAGTGCTGGCAATACAAAATTTCAAAAGTGAAATCACCAGCTTTGTTACGATCGTCTGACAGTTTCACAAAATAGACAATGACTTTTTAAACATCCTATACCGATCACCAATACTGACATAGCCAAACCACCGTCATATCAATCCGCCAAGCAAATTGAGCGCAAACGAAACGGCAGTATTCTATCCCAGCAAATTCTTTCAAACCAAACCATTTATCAATCAGCCAAGAGAACAAAATTTTAACATTTGACTTTCCTCCATTTAGTCGTCGTTTACCCAACAAAAGTGGTTGGTACAAGAATAGCAGTTTCGATTCCATCGTACGTAAGACAAGAAAATCTTTAATTCAATATATCAACCGTACCCAGTTGTAAGGAATAGACAATATTAAATAACGAAATACATTACAGGGAAACGTCAAACGATTCATTAATAATGTAAAGTTTCTTTCAACCCATTGCCAAGGGTTCCGTATATTGGATACTTTTTTAATATCGATCAAAACCAAGTCTGAAAACAAAGTGCTGGCATGCTTATTAAATCCGACATCCTTTAAAAACGCATCGATTTAAACTCAAGGGTACAGACCGTAGGGATCGAAATAAACTACAGTAAGAATATTACAATGCTCTTGTGCTCTGTCATCCTTTCCAAATTCTTTTTTCATAATATCTCCACCGATGGTTAGTGAACACTTTAACCATCGTATCTTGACGTATCGTATTGAAAACACATTGAAAACGATTCGTCCGTTCCAAATGATCACTTAAAACCTCAAAGTCGCAGATGTAAGAAAACATTTTAACCGTTTTGTTGGTGCAATGAAATAATAACAATAATGATAAAAAATAGTTCTTGTAATAGGAACTTTAACATCCATCTGTTATAAATTATTTGAATTCGGCATTTGCTTAATTTGCTCTTTTCTCATGTTAGTTGCTTATTCCAGCATTAAGGTATCAAATTTTGTAAAGTATTTTTGTTTTTTCCTTTAAGAAGCAACCAATGGTTACATAAAGCAGCTGCTGAAGAAGTCAAAACTTCACTTCTTTTGGGGGATTTTAATAGAAATCTCTATGAAGAGGAGGTCTGAAAAAATTTGCCAAGAAAAACTAGAGCGCAAATATATTTAGAGGGACTCATAATTTGAATAAAAAAAATTATACTTTCCCTATAAAGAAAAAAATTAATAATCGTTGGAGGAATGGAAAAGGATCCAGGTTTTAAGGTGGTCAATTTCAGGAGATATTCAAACATTAGGCGCCCTCTCAATCGGCATTCTTACGATATTTTAAGAGACAGAACTCTAAAGATGGTACGGATATCCTTTGATTTACATAAAAAGATCGCTATAGGATTCTTTATGTAATTCTTTGTGTTATTAGTGGCAGCAAATGTTGTAGCATTATTTTAGTGTGGGCATATTTTACTGTGGGACTATACTTTTTTACAATAACTGCGCAGCGAGATTGATTTGTAATTTTTTTGGTAGATTGGTATGACTGTTGCAAACAGCTGCCACATATGTCCTGTTGGCTTAGTAACAGAAACGTTTTTGTTCTGGTTGTCAGCAGATATTTTAAAAAAGTACAGCCTCAATTGCGGTAGCTGTGGAAGTGGAAAGTACCGTCCACCAAAACAACTACGAAAACTTTTCTTTTCATGTCCTCTGGGAATTTCTGTTTTTTCATTTTATGCCCACCCCTGAATGATTTTTATAATGATTGCCACAAAACCACCTAAAAGAAAACTTTAAAGTACATATATTCGTGATCAACATGAAATTCTAAGTTGAATAAGTCATGTATGGCCGTCTGTGTGGTGTGTGTTATTGACACTCTTCTAATCGCAAAAACAAAGATATCGATTTCATGTTTGCTAGAAACATTTAGAGTTTCTGTACGCAGGATTGTATTGAAAATAGGCCAATTGATATCCTAACCACTTCTCTATGATATTAAATAAAAGCGGGCCTCAACCGAATATAACTTTCTTACTTCTCTTTCTTTCTCTTTAAGCTAGACCAGCGTGTCGATCGACATAATTGCTGTTTACTTTGCTAACAACAATAACTGGGTACTGGGTGCTGCTAGGTATTGAAAGTAAATGTATGGCTTTTCCGTTAGTTTAAGAAAGGAAAAATTAAATTTCCAGCAAAAGTTTAGCATTGAATAGAATTGTTATAACAGCGATCGTAAGGGGACTAAGTCATGTTTATGTAAAGTGAATAAATAAGTTCGTTCCACTGAAATTGGTTGCTTCATAAAACGTACCCGAAGCATTCAATTCCTAAAATTTCTGGTACGCTTAACTTGGATATCAACATTTGGACAGTGTAGGTTTCAGTTGTTTACAAGATCTCGTTCAGTGTATATCATAGATTAAAGAGATGGATGTCGTTTACAGCACTGCGTATTTTTCAGTTTTTAACTGGTTTAAACATTACCTGCAGCTACGGAAATCATTAATTCGGCTTGGAGTGAAAATATATAAGCTAAGAAACAGTAACTGATTTAGTCTCTATTGTTATTCATTGTTTTTGTTGGTAACCTTTCTATTTCGCCGCGAAAAAAATCAAAGAACACATTATTAGTTCCCTAAGATACATTTTCATTTGTTTTATTTTTAATAAAATGTGCGTAAATTTTCATTCTATGGAATACTTCATAAGTACATTTATGACGGAAATTGGAGCATACTTGAAAACCTTCGTTGTTTTCAGAAACATTACGATTAGTGTGATCAGTCCGTGGAAATGCATTGGGGTATTGCGCCGGACCACTTCCCATTTTTAAGACATTTGACCATTTTTGGTCCTCTTAACTCTAAACCAGCGTCGCAAGTAAATGTTACACTTTCACCAATCGCATAGTAAAATTGTACCGAAGACATATGGCCACTTATTGCTGTACCAGGATAGGAACAGGCCTGAACGCATTTCGGCAAAACTCCGGACCAGCGGCCGTTATCTTGGCAGGCAATTATAGGTTGTCCTTGCATCATGTACTCGGGATTGCAATTGAATTGCACAACATCGCCGGCCCGGTAAGGTGCTGAGCCCTGAGCGTAACCGTTTTGAGGAGCTCCTGGATTGTCACATTGAACTTCAATGCATGTTGGAAAGGGTACAGCCCATTCGCCAGTAGGCAAACATATTGCTTCTGACGGTCCTCGTATACCGTAGCCAGAGGCGCAGGAGAAGGCAGCGCGACCACCTACCTCCCTGGATAGCACAGAGACCCGTGGAGAACTAACGTTATTAGGTAGAGGAATATCGCCACATTCTACGCTTTCGCAAACTGGTAAGGGTGCACTCCAGTTGCCACTGGGAAGGCAAAATAATTCAGAAGAACCAATAAGTGAATTTCCATTCGAGCAGGAAAGCAAGACCCGAGTGCTTAATTTGGTATCGTTCGTACTAACAATTAAACCACGCCGTATAGGAATTTCAGGACAGTTGATACTCTTAACAACCACCTCAACTGAGTGTTCATGTCTTGCCGGCGTTTGGCAAGAGAATATGCCAGAATCTTCAGCTTGAGCATTGGATATTGTTAAGCGATACTCCAAAGTAGCGTCTCTCCCCTCGTCAGTAACCCAACCTTCTGAATAATTTCTAGAAAGAATAAAAGTCTACAAACATGTTCTTAAAAAATCGGCTAAGCCAACCTCACACTATGGCTCACAGACCATTTCGGATTGCCGAAACGTCTCATCCATAAGCATTCCATGTGCAGAGTGGTGCCCGGATACACAATCAGTTTACCGTCATTACTTTGCGCGATAGGACCGTTTTGATGACGAAATAATATTGTAGGAGCTTTTTCCACTATTGAAAAAAGTCAAACATTTATTTTACACCTCGCGAATTATAGGTTGAAGAAGTTTTTCATATTTACTAGCATAGTCATTTTCTTGATTTAAACCAAAACAAGCTGGTTTTGCGCCGGTCCACTCGGAGTGAATACATGTCCTTTCAATACTACCCACAAGCTCAAATTTGCCGATGTCAGTACATCTAAAAGTTAATACAGATTGCAAGTATTAAGAAATATGGAAAAGAGGTGCACAAACAGACCGTCCATACCTTGATATTATGGTCGCTCCTGGAGGGAATTCAACAATATCTTCACGAATTTCCAAGTCATTATAAAAACTCACCACATTTGGTTCATTGTTTTTAAACATACAAGTGCCGTTAGCTAAGAAATTCAGAAATTTTTATTAAGGAAGCTTTTACTTTAAAAAGCCAAGAGCGTGGCTAACCGCAATTATAAGATCTGCCTATCCAATGGCCGTTTTCGCATATAATTTTCCATGTATTTCGCTCACCGGACGCACTCGGAATGCAGTTGAAAAAAATCTCGGTCCCGCTCTCATATCCACCTTCAATTTCCAAATCCCCATTTCTGAATAAATGGAAATGAAGCATTGACGATTTTGTTCGTAACTTCTCTAACTTACTTGTAAACTAAAGCGCCATCTGTTATGGACGGAGGTCCACACATTTTTGCTTCCTCAGTAGTATTTTGATCGTCAGTGGAGTTAGACGATTCTTCCATATCTGACGAGTCCAGGGAATGTGATATTGACGCACTGTTAGACCTCGCATTAATTTCTTCTTCATTGTCTTGCAGAATTTCTTCACGCGATTTTCGCATACCGGATTCGCAGTGTATGTTTTGTGGAGTTAGTACACCTTTGTTACAGTTCATTTCAATCGGCAAAGTATTGGTGGAATAATTACAGCGCACGCTAACCGAACTCATGTGACCGATGGTAAGTCCAGCGCGATAACCTCCCTAAGATGCAAGTAACTATAATTATAGATATAATAACCGTTTGCTGTAGATTCCTACCTCGTATGTTAAACCTGTTATGTTCGGAAGAGTGCAAAGAATAGAAACGCATTCAGAGAAAGCATTTACTGACCAACTGCCATGGGCGCATCTTAATTGTGCTGAGCCCTAGAAGATGGAAGGTTTTTGATTGGTTTTCGAAATGAAAGTTAATTTTACTAACTTGTATTTTATAACCATCTCCGCACTCCAATGTTATAAATTCATTTGATTGTATTTCCTCATAGGTTGAAAGGGGCGTTAAAGAAGGTTTATCCGATAACCATTTGGTATGCGGCTCCACTTTATAATATTTTCCATTCTCCACAAAAGGTACTAAGCAAGGCGCTACTTTTCGAAAAGGTTTAACGTAAAAGATTGAAGATTGTGAAAAGAGATTTCTCGAAATACCTGAAACGCACTTTGGTGTTTCGGGTTTCCAAATTCCTCGTATGCAACGAACTGTCACATTTTCATCCTTTATATTTAATTTAAAACCAGGATTGCATTCTAAATACAATATGATACCAACACTGTTTCTTCCTGGAGCCTTACCCGGCCTAATAGTGGTAATATTTGCGAATGAGTCCCAATCTAAATCTTCACAAGGGCCACGTAAACGCTTGCGTCCCTCTTTGTTCTCCAAATGATCGCTTGCGTCTGGCTCACTGGGCTGCAAGTAACTGCTGCTTCTTTTACGACGTTTTCGTATTATTTGAGCTTTTAATTGTTCTATGAAATCACTTTCATTGCTTGTTTTTGGTAATTTTTTCGAACCTTCCATAAGGCGATGAAAGGAATTATTGCTATCAAGAATAGGTTCATTCTTCCTCCTGCTCGAACTGTACCGAGAATTTTGATAGATATTGGGCATTGGTATTTTGCCCATTGTTCTATGCGCACCGTCGAAATCCTCATAGTCATAAAGATTAAATTCATTCGCCAAAGTTTGGGATTTGTGGTTAGGTTTATATCGAGCTAATTGCTCTTGATTATCGTAGAAACTATACCAACGACCATCTTGTGCTTGTATCTTTTTGTTGGTATTAAGAAATTCTAAAGGATTGTACATTTTGTTGTAGCCTAATAAGTGTTTAACATAATTTTGGTATTTTTGCCGGATACGTTGGTAATATTTAGAATAGGCTTCTTCAATCTCAGTCGGTGTTCGTTTGCTACGCTTCCGTAATTTAGGATCAACTGGAAGAGGATTAATTAAAAACTTTTTATCATTTCATTGGGTGATGGCCTTTTACCCTTATTTGTTGCATTTTTCCATTGTGGAAAATGTTGATAAATATCATATCTTAATTTTTTCTCCAAGTCACGTTTCTCTCGCATGCGATATGTAGAGCCAATATGTCTTATTTCGATGGACCTGCGTTTGCGATTCCAACGCAGGCGAGGGTGTTGACCCAATAAACATTGCGGTAGTTCTAAAGGGCGCCATTTACCACCCACACAGGTGGCGCCCGGTGGACCTACGTCTAATACATAACCTTTATCACAATCGTACATAATCTGTTTGTTATTTACTATCTGATATAAAAAAGAATTTGTTAGTGCATATATATATATATATATATATATATCTATATACAGCAAATAACAGCCTTATTATACCTTTTTCACATAGGGCCTGTAGTCATAAAGTCCCATATTGCCAACTAATAATACCTTGCCATTTGGTATATAGCCAGGGAATGAACAAAATACTTCTTGACAATGTGGTGTGTCTCCAGTCCAATTGCCAAAAGAACAGGTAAGAATGTAAGCATTTAGATCTGTTATATCTTTCCCTTCGGGATTGACCAGTTTAAAGCCGTCTTTACATTTAAATCTTGCTTTCATACCATGCTCAGTTTTTGGAGCCAATACCATACCGTGCTTTGGAGGTTTCGGCATACTTTTACATCTCGCCGGAACGCAACGCGGTATTATGCTCCATGTGCCATTATGACATGTGGGTGGACTTAACAAGGAGACTGGGAATTCATAATTTTCGTCACATTTGACATCTAAAGATGTGCCATGTTTTACTTTATCCACATATCCGGAAGGAGAAATGACAGGCGATTGCGTCGTTGTAGATGTTATTATGACCGTGCCATTCTCATCAGTCATAATTTCGATAGGTATAACAAAGCCTTGTGATATAGTTGGTACCACACATGGAGCTAAACACTCAGGCAAAGGGTTCCGCCAACGTCCATCAATTTGACAAACACTGGATGCATGACCTTGCATTAGCATTTCGGGTTGACACCGAAATATAATGCTAGCGCCTAAACCAGTACCCACTTCAATGTTTTCGATCCAACCATTGTATAGAATGCCAGGATGACCGCAATTAATTTCTAATTGAATAAAAGCAAGTGGATTATAGTTGACTAACGCTAAGCATTAAATATCATACATTTAATAAATTATCATTGTGACAAGATATCAAAAATTATATATTGTTTTAATGTAAAGGAGCATTTTTTATAGGAGGTCTTATGCGGAAATGACCTCAAAACATGAACTAACTCGATCCAAAAACTCGCTCCAAGTCTCTGTGAAGGATTTTATTATTGTTCATCTATTTATAATTACACTTCGTTGCTATGTAAAGGCTTACAACTCGTGAGAACTCTTGCATGGATCTTAAATTGCGCAAAGTTAGTACAATTTATTTGTCTATCACATTATAAATTATAGACCAATATACCTCATAATGCACTAAAAATTAGACCTTATACTTTTATAAACGCTCACATTTCGTAGTGACGCTTATATGGGGTACCATTCACACACTTGGTCCATCGGCATCAAATTTCAGATCAAATGTCAGATCTATTTTGTATTCCCTAAGACTATTACTCAGCGACTTTCCCCGAGAAATTTTGAAAATTTGAAGTTTCTTTCACATAACTCACTTGTGTAAAACGATGGAAAAATTCGAGGTTCATGCGTAGCGTCACTAAAACAACTGTAACTAGTAAAGTAATGGGCGAAGTCTCATGAGATTTTGAAGCAGTACGTTTGAAGGTTGGATGCTACTTAAAAATCAAATGGATTCGTCAACAGTTAATTTACATTTGTATTTCATTCTACGAATTATTGAATGATATATTAACTTTTTCAAGACAAGGCGTTGTAAGAAGTGTAATCGTAAAGACGGTCCAACCCAGCGCATTCTCAAACTTAGATTAATTCAGAAAATGGTTTTGAATACATCGGTGTAATGAACAATGGCTCTGTTCTAAGTCTTTCCGACCTACATCCGCAAAAGCTTAATATAAATTGTACAATAAGTAGTAGCGTAGCATCGGTTATAAGAAGGGACTTAAAAGAAAATTATAACAATGATGTAGAAAAAAACTGACTTACCTTTACACACAGGTAAAGTTCCGCTCCACTTTCGATCAGCTCCACAACGGCTTGAGCTTTCGCCCACCAACGTATAGCCATAACGGCATTCATAGCTAACCACTGAATTATAGGCTAAAGTTGTGTATGTGGCTTTACCGTTCTTCGGATTTTCAGGTGTAGGGCATATAACAGAGGTAACTACTGCTCGAAAGAAAGAAAACCAAAAATATTTAATTTTTTATTTTACTTTATAACCTCAATCAGTCTGCATATTAAATATATTTGAATCACTCATGTATGAAGGCAATGCCTGCGGTATTATTTCGTAAGCAGCGTCTGCAAAGTGATATCATCTCCTTTTGCAGAAACAGTTAAGCTATTGACGAATTATCGTAGTCATCCTACGTAACTGGTTTCTTACATTAAGTATGGAAACTAGTAAAATCGAAAGGTGAGTAAAGAACTTTAGGAGAACAATGGTGGCAGAAGAAGAAAATCATAAGCTTTAGTTGTCGATTATGTGCATTTTTACCATAATAAACACTACATTTTCACAGCTTCAGTCTTTGATAATAAAAATATAAGCGAAACGAAAGTTACAGAAGGGAAGGCATGTAGCGGACTCTGAAGAAAGTTACCGCAAGTTCTTTGAATTGTTCATGAAATTGACAATATGACGGCAACATAAGTTATGAGAGCGGATAATGCTGTTACATGTGAAATATGATAATAAAACAACGTTTCACATTTGCGGTAACTTTATTTATTCATAACAAATTGTTTAACAACAAATTTCAACCATTATTATTATTACTTTGTAAATAAACGTTTTTAACTCGTTTGAAATAGAATTTTAACAAGGTCTCAGTTCTCCAACAGTAATGTTATAAGCTAATAGGAAAATTATAAATTTAGCCTTATTTTTTAAACAACAACAACTCTTCTTGATTCAGAAGCGGTGAAATTTTACACTGACTGACTAGGAGGAAATGTGGCATTTTTATCGCTATTGGCTTTTTGATGCAAAAGAAAAGAACATAAAAAAAAAGTGGTTGTTCTTAGATCAAGGTGAACTTAAATAACAAGACAAAGCAAAGTGAGAGAAATTACAAGCAATTTTTCGAGACTACTTACATACACAAGTGGGCAGCTCTTTTGGCGTCCAAGAACCGTCTGATTGGCAGGTGCGTTCATGTTTGCCTACTAACTCGTAACTATTGCCGCAATTGTAGGTGATTTTGCAACCATAAGTGTAACACTCGCCAGAATGCCATCCGTTAGCCGGATCTGGCGGCTGGCCGCAGGATCGAGCTACAAACAGAAAAAAATAAAATTCGATATTTTCATCTGTCTATACTTCACGGAATTTTTATATAATTTTAACTCACGTTCGCATTGTATATCTGGTCCATACCAGCTGGCTTGACCATCTATGGCTAGACATTTAGCTCTTGGAAAACCGTTGGTCACGTAACCATTATGACAATGATATTGTACTGTCGAATCCAAATCAAATGTTTCCTGCTCTGGCAAAGCTGAATTGCGAGCATGTTCTATTTGCGGTGGTTTCAGACAATAAACTACAAAAAAAAGGGGATCATTAGTTTACCGACATTGCTTAAAAAAGAATTTTGATAAATGTATATGCAACGTTACTGTTTTGTTTGCAAGCTGGCTCAGCACCAGCCCAGTTGCCGTCGGCTTGGCATAAACGACTTTGTAGTCCAACTACATGATAACCATGAGGGCAGGAATAAGAGGCTCGTGCACCAAAATGTCTACCAGCGACTGTGACTTGGCCTAGAGTAGGTTGAGCCAATTCCGGGCATTCGCGATCTTTTTACAGGAAAGTAGTTTAATAACAATACTTTTAATTGCCATGACGTTTATTCACACTCACCGGGCTTAATGCATGACATACCGCAGACGCCGTCACATAAACATTTTTTTTTCTTACTCTTACAGTCCTCATCCGATGAGCATTTACGTAAACATTTTTGTCCCAATAAAGTGGCTTGCTCTTCGTCACGCGGACATTCCGAAGAGGGTGAGTTACGCGGGTTCTTATAAATTCGTCCGTCATCATCCGCTTCCGAGGATTCATCCTCATCGTCCCAGTCGTCATCTTCGTCGTCTTGAGGAATCTCCGTTTGAGCCAATGGGCCCGATAACACTGGAAACACATACAACACAGAACGTGAATATAACATGCATATCTATATTTAAAAATCAAGTGAGAGTGCTTATGGCTGGCTTCTTTGTCTAAGCGCTGTTATCCTACATACCTATATATGTATGGATGCATATTATATGTTATTATGTCGTATGACAACAAAACCTACATTGTGTTGTTTTTACATCTTTTAACATTGACCCATATTATGTGCACACGTAACTTTAATACATTGCTACCCGTACATGGAGTGCAAGTAGCAAAAGTCTATGGTTGTTACTTTCTTTATCCTTATGATTTTTAAAGTGCGTATATGTATGTGCCTTTGCTTCTTCTATTTTGTGTAGAAATTATTGAACTTGCGCATTATATGCTATTATTATATAATAATGGATACAAACAATTTTTAAGAAATTTTTTTAAATTTATGCAAAACTATTTTCTGTTTACATGGATTTTTTCTTTTCTTTTCCTGTTTGCTTAAATGAACTTAAAGCGTTTTTTTGACTACGGCCTAATCATTACTTACCTCTGCTGCAGACGATAGCTACAAATAAAAATTGTAGTAAATATCGTTTCATTATCGTTGTTTTATTTATTTAAAACTTTTAATTTGATTATGTTTCAATTACTTGGTGCAGGGTAAAGATTCAAATCATAGTTAAATTTTTATTATAAGTTAAAAACGTTTGCTTATCAAATTTTTCTTTTTAATATCTTCAAAGAATGCCTTTTATAGTGTAACTCGTTGACAGTAAACCAACGTAAGCAAGTGCTAACTAGCTTTATATTCGAAAGCGGATGTGTTTCGACTGCACCGTTTGACTGAATGCACAGTATTGTGGTCTATAATGTGTTTGACGATATGTTGAGATGTTTTCTTTTTGGTGCTTTTCCTGCGGAGGACAATACATATGCAATGAGAGAGAAATTTGAAATTATCTTAAAAATAATATGAATCCTTTTTGGTTTGTTGTTGTCGGCTTTGCTTAAATTTCTTTGCCCGAATCATCGACAATAATTGTTTGAGTTGAATTAATGCAAAATCACAGCAACAACTAGCGATTTACTCAATTCAAACCATACGAACTCTTATCATCTCATTTTTAAATTCACTAAAACCTAAATTAAAACATTTGTTCGTAGACTTTTCGTAGCGCAGCGACCGATGGATAATATATTAAATTGATTATTAACTTTGTAATGGGTAATGATTGAGATAATTATATTCACGTCAGTATAATCAAGTAAAATATTTTTATTAGTTTAAGGCGTGTCCGGTGCTATTAATAATTTTGAAATATTTGTTTTCTTATGTTTTTCAAATGTTCCATCCGTAGAGGACTCGCGGCTAACAGACCTGCTTATATGCTTAACTGTAACTGCTTAACTAACTGCTGCCAATTTTTATCATGACTCCAATCAAAGTTTGGGTAATACAAAGTTTAGGTGAAGGAATCCGAAACTATTTGCTGATCAATAATATATATATACACTTAACTTTATGTTCCTTATTTCTTACTTGTTAGTGTTATTGTGTTCCGGTCGTAGTGATAAGAAGCAGGGCTCAGTTTATGGCCCGACACCTACGGTTTACGGACTTGCTGTAACGAGTAGAGAATTAACAGCTATTTATAAAGTATGCATTTGATTTGTGCGGCCAGATAGTACTACTCATTTTACTTTCGAATATACTCGATATCGAGAACGTATAACCAGCCCTATTACGCAGTCATCTTTGAGTGACTGAGTACGCACTGAAACAGAATATTTTTAAACTGTTTGGATCTAATAACTTAGAAACGAATGGGGTGTGAATGTAAATTTTTTTGCTTTAAGCATATTCAACAAAGCTTCCATAAATTCCTTTTCGTGAGATGACAATACAGGTTTGACCTTGCTTTTCGTGTGGGGAAGCCTATATTGATTACGTACTAGCGGTAGCTCTTATCTAACAGAGGACAACAAGTCCGTCTAAAAATATATTACATATTCATTATAGTATTTAACTAACTTTTTTTCTTTTTTATTTTTTGATTTTACTCTTATGCTGTGCAAGCTCGCGATTCGTCCCTTAAAACAGTAAGCAATATCGAATTTCGAAGAAAACATATTTTGAATTTGAAGACATGTTCCCGTTAAACTTAGTGACGTTTCACAAGTCCGTTCTAATAACAATCTTTTCTATACTTAATACAATTAATAAGGGTTTCTCATTATTTTCAGTTGTAATGGTTTTGAAATGTTACGTTTGACTATATTGTTCATTGTACGTTGAACGTTAAGATGACTTCCCCAATATATGGCCAAACATTAGCAACCTTGTTGTTTGGCACTTGACAGTCAAAAGCTTTTTATGTGTGCCAAAAAGCTTAAAGCTTCATATACAAATATTCCAACCATACTAACGTGAAAATAAGAAAAGTGTACACCATATATAATATTTGCAGTAAAAATGTAGTTAAAAAGTGCTTAAAAGTCAATAATACACAATTAACTCCAGCCAAAATTTAACCGATAAAACATTTTGAAAAGTAAGCTTAATTAAAGGAGAATTTAAAAACATCCATATCCAATAAATAGTTGCCTTCAGAAGAGTTAGTAAATAAAATAAAAGTTAATAGCACTCACGTACGTATACGTATATGTGTGCATAGAGAAACAATTTTGGTATACAACAAATTGTATATATTGCATATATTAGGCAAAGATGCGTACAATGCATAATTTATATAGATGGATTTGGGAAATATGATTATTTCTGAAAGTATTGTTCCTTTTCTGAATCTCTGTGGAAGTTTGGCGACACTTATTTTCATTAGTGCGAAGTCGAGGCAATCATTTTATTGGCCTGTTTTGATGCCATATACACACGAACATAATGAATTTCAAGAGGTTACGATTTAGGGGGAAAATCATTATATATAAATCAAAATTTATTTAATAGAAATGAAAGAATTGATAGATATTTGAAGCATCTCCTCCGTCTTTTAATGTTAGAAAACGTTTATGTTTCGATAACGTGATTCTTTATACTAAGTAATATTCATATGTCTCACGTTTAATTTATTAAAGTCTATCGTTTTTTTGTGGTTGGCACCATCGTGAAATGGGCAATGTTTGCAGTTCTGGGCAAAATAAGAAAAAAGGCAGTATATCAGAAAAATCGGAAGAGTAAGTTCTTTATTATTGTCAACTGAATCAGTTTTAATATTAAATTTATAATTGCAAATTATTTAATAGTTCCTACAATGATACTAAAGCAGATAATAATGTTAGCACTACAAACGTCCCTCCTTCTACGTCTCAAGTAGGAAAAGTGCCTATTACAACTAAGCATGAGGATTTACCAGACGAATCGTCGCTTACAAACACAGACAGGAATGCAATTCAATCAGATCAAAGCAGTAAGCGTCTTAAATATTCAATTTTCCTATAACTTTGTTAACTTTTTACCGATCTTTAACAGATTCCGTTGCTACATCCACTACCACGACCACCGCCGCACAAATCGCAACCGAGCTAAGTGATTTAAAAAGTATGTCTAATATTAGTTTAGCCATATTACGTGGAAAATTCTTAGGGAATAGAAAAACTGAAAGGCACAAAAAGATTGTTGTTTACATACTAACAGATAATAGTCAAGAGCACAAGAAGCATAAACGCATTATCCATGGATTGCAAAAGCAATTTACTCGTCAATGCCAAAGCAGAGATTTTGAATTTGTTATTTCCGATATTCATGATATGGAAATATCGGTCAAAGCGGACTATTCTAGATTATCAGCAATTAATCATTGGAGCCAAAGTCCTTTGGAAGCACAGGGTGGTCACGAAGAAGCTGCTAATGCTCTGTCGGAGTTAAGCAGACATTCTGCTTCAGCATATATAATACCCGTATTGTTTTTGGGTTCAAATTTGGGTGTACCGATGTTGCCGCTGACTATAGAAAGCCAAGATTTCACATCAGTTTTAAGTGCAGCCAATGAAGCGGAGAGAATTCTTTTAGAGAAATGGTATACTATAGACAATCTTAATCAACCCATGTGCCATCGTTTGCATACTCAACAAATTGAACCATACTCTACAAAGCAGGATGAAGAATTAAATAAATTATTCGGTGTTCTATTAAATTTGTTTTCGAATGATTTAAAAGACTCATACATGTCAACAGTGGTTGAACAAGAAGTGAACAATACGGTCTTAATAAGTCAAGAACTGGCAAAGCGATGCATTTGGATACAAACAGGTCCCCACTACATGAAGGCTCCCGAAAATGCTTCACCTTATGAACTGGAGGTCTTAAGACGCATTTCTAAACTTTATAGTGAATTGAAAACTCATTTGTCTGAGAAGAATATGGTACGCATTTTACCCAACATGAATGTGCTGGACGACGAATTGGCCGAGGTCATAGAGAGTTTAATAGACAAGTCAATTACCACAATTATTGATGAGTACGCAAATAAGAATAGTTTACCGGACAATACCAATGGAGTGAATCATGCTCTAATTGAGGAAATTGAATTTATTGGTCAGTATACGACGGCGTTAGCACAAAACTCTCCCAACTTCGACATTATGAACGATATTAAAAGGTGAGTTGAGTTTCATTTTTTTTCTATTCTTCTAGATATTACAGGTTTTCGAAAAAACGTTTACCTACAGATATATAAAAGACAGCACAGATCAGCCTCTAGTAGTGTGCGGACCCAGCGGGTGCGGGAAGAGTGTACTTATATCGAAGATAGTAGAAAATTTGTACCGTTGGAAACCAGAGACAAATCTGATATTGAGGTACATACTTTTTGGTACAAGTATTTGCTCATTATGCCCACTTTCGAAATTTGGCGCGTTTTAATTTTTGCAATTTTGCAATTTGTTTATAGTATTTCCGTCAGGCGACTCATAAAGTATGTGTGTTCTTGATTAGAGGAACATTTTAAGGCGATTTAATCATGCCGTTTTTGTTCATCCGTCTATGTGTCCCTCATAGGTGCAAAAATTTCAGAAGAGTGTCGAAATTTGATGCTTGCATATTCTTTATTTAAATAAACATCCGAACAGATTAATTGTAGAAATGGGCGCGATTTATAGAAATCCGTTAAGAAAATCGAAAAACTGTCAAAAAGAAATTTAAAACGTTAGTGCCGAAGACTTACAGAACATGACAGAAACATTTATTTTAGCACAATTTTAAAAGTCAAGTACAAGCATAGCACCACAGTCCGATTCTCAAATGTTTAATATGTTTACTCGAGACGGTGGGTATTTAAGATTCGCTTTGTGGCGAATATAATTTATATATAATTCAAATTTTTTAACATATATATTATTTATATTTTTAAGATACGCGAATTTAACGGCTCGTTCAGGCGACTTGGTCACCGTCTTGGGATCCATAGCCAACCAAATGTCAGCTTTAGCTTACGGATATCAAACGAGTCTCAGCCATGTAATTATATGAAATATATATAAAATAAATCTTTTATATTTAAGCTGGCAACTGTATTATCGGTTGTTGGGTTAATGGAGTAAATGAAAAGCATAGCAAAAATTATAAAAAGATAAAAGTAGCGTTCATGCGTATTTCATAACGAAACATATTCACCGCAATCGTTCATCGATTGCAAGAGTACTAAAGTAGTAAAAATGAATGGCGAACTAATTTGGTCAAAAATCGAATATAAAATAATTTGATTACAGATATCAGCTTCGGGTATTTGACATCAAAATTATAATAGTTAACACTAGGCTTATTGACAATTCGACATCTATAAATAACGAAAGGCTATCCTTTGCTTAAGACAATCTCGCAGCATGGAGCAAGCATCTTCCTCAACGCAAATATTATTTTTTTAATTGCCTTTTAAATTCTTTTGCAGACTTTTCAAGCTTACGCTCAAATCATACAAAAAATAATCGATGAGGAGAAATGTTTCTTTATTATCATTATTGATTCGGTTGACGAGTTACTTGGTGAAGACATAGATCTGACGTGGTTGCCGTTCAAATTAAAAAATATGTGTAAAGTTATACTCACCGTAACAGAACGGACCGATAAATATGAGAAGCTGTTGCACAAGCTTACGGAATATGGCCTATCGCAAAAATGCTTTATAAATATGAAGCAATTTACTGACCGCCAATGGAATGATATTTTGTGTTCGGGAGGTGGTGATTTTTATGTAGCTAATCGAGCCGTTAAAATGCCAGATGAATGGAAAAATTTACATGGTCGTACTCCTTTTCATGCCAAATCGTTATGGTGGATGGCTTGGCTTGGCTGTACATCGACAAGTATGAATGACATATCCGAGGTATTGCATAAGGTACTGCAGGTCCTGGAGACCAAATTTTCATCCGATCATGCCGAACTATTATTGCTCATTGTATCACTTTCTGAATGGGGGATAAGAGAAAGTGATTGTATACAGATATTACAAAGATTAACCAAACTTGATGCGCAGGCCGCATTTAATGTTTGGTCGCGTTTCTGCTGGTTAATGGGTCCCATGCTGTTATGTATAAGGAATATCAAAATAACTGACACAAGCTTCCGCATGACTATTCTAGAAAAGTACAAAAAGAATCAATCATTTGTGCACAAAGCCATTCGGGATTTTTTCGATAGGCAAGACAGCTATTTTGTAATTTCAAAAGAACTTAACAAAATGTAAGTTTCTATACCATATTTTATAATTATGTAACCTTTTGGAAGCACATTTGTCTATTTGTCTATTTAGCTATAATTATCAAAAGTTTTTAAAGCTACCTTACCATCATTTTTCGGCGGTTATTGAGGATAATTTGGGGCCAAATGCAATCGATATTCTCTTTAATTGTTTTTATTTTACCGATTTGCAATGGATAGCAGATAAGGTGCATGCCTGTGGTCCTATTCATCTTATGCACGATATTTGGGTATCGGAGAAAATTTCTGGTATTCCCCAGCAGTCGTATTTGCATATTCACTTCTTAAAGGAGTTTTTAACGAACTATATGCATGAACTTGATTATGACGGACATCAGTTTTTTACGCTTATTAAATTTTATCTTAAGACTAGAATCAAACAGGATGCGAATTTAAAAGATGATGAAAAAGTGCGATCATGGTTAGAGTTTACAAATGAAATTGAAATTCCGTTTTTGGAAATATTAAACGGTGACTGGAGCAACGGGAGGGAAACCGGGCATGGTGACTATAATGTATTAGTTAATTTGCCTCATAAAGGTTACTTTGTGGCTGCGATAAGTACCATCAGGGGCGATATTTGTATATGGGATGTCAAAAGTAGCCGTCGCGTAAGAGTGCTAGAAGGTATCCCACAACCAACTGCTATGTGTCCCTGTGATACTTATGATGCTGCTGTACTATGTCGTAGAGAGATTAAAGTTATTAATTTGGATGAGGGAAAATTTAAGGTACTTAACTGTACCCGAGTTAACAATAATTAAATTATTAATGTATTATTTGTGTCTCCTTCATCTTAGGTTACTTTGAAAGGCGTAATGAATCAAAAAATGCCATATTTCGGTTTGCATGATCAAAAGCATTTGGTGTGTTTGTCGCGCAATCGTATGTATGTGAATCTCATGAATCTTGAATCCGGAGATTGTGTTACGACATTTAAAGCTGGTGAGGACCGTTTTCTCAATTCTCTGTTGGTATCCGGAGATGGAAGGTATCATTATTTTTATTATTTTATTCAGTATATAAAGTATTATTCTCTTCTTTCTGAACCCTTAGAATTCTTGTGTGCGGTGACGAAACCCAAAAGCCATTTCCTCTGCTTGTGTGGCATCTTACACAAAGGAAACTGTTATATGATTTACGTATACCGTGCCATGATTTCATAACATCGCTATCAGCCATAACACACGAAGGATCATACGTTTGTGTCGTCGCGAAAGAACTTAACGAGCCCACACCTAATTTTATAGTTGTCTATGATTTACAAAGCGGCACATTATTTAAGAAATGGAAGCCTTCCTGCAATACGGTTGCATTAGCTATATCGCAGGTCAATGCTTGTGTCATTGCCGGCTTGGATGATGCTAAAATCTTGGTGTGGGACTTAGTTACGGGTAATTGTCGTTCGACACTTACTGGTCATAACGCCCCAGTAACATGCTTGAAACTGGACCCATTAGGTAGAATTTTATTATCTACCGATAAAGAAGGTCGTGATAATTCGTTCCGTGTGTGGGAAACTAGTACAGGTAATAATAAGCGGTAATGCATTTTTTACTAAAACATCATGTACTTGTGAATATTTTCTAGGAAAATCTTTAGCTGTGCTGAAGTTACCCGATCGTATTTCGGCTTGCGAAATTCTTCCTAACGGAGCCTTTGTCGCTGTTGCTTTAGAAGGTCGCTCGGATCTAATGATTCTCGCTTTAAAAAACTATGGTGATAGTGAATCGGACGATGATAATCCATACATTTATGGAAATCAGGATAATCAAGATAAAGTTTTCAAACTAGAACCAAATTAACGGGAGCAGACAACTCTGAGCATTTGGGCTACTATGGAATGAACTGCTTGAAATAGTTTGTTCTTCTTTTCTTTTTCTCATTTAATTTTTTATACCCATCACCACAACCAAACAATACACAAATCCAAGGTTACACAAATAATGTGCGAACATGCACATATTCCTTTGGCTTGAATATTGAATTGATTTCATTCAAACGGTAATAATTTTGGTGGTTTACAAATATTTTTAAAAGTGTCTTTTAAAATTTGTCAATCCATCTTAAAAGTTATTCTCCACTTTTCGTATTTTATATGCATACTTATGATGGATGATATTTCATCAAATGTCATCTGCTTATCCATGTGATTTTTCACCGAAGCGTTACTTATAGCTGAGCTTTAACGCGTTAGAGGAAGAAGCAAAAGAATTGTAACAGTCAACCCTTCAGTGACAGATGTAAAAAAATTACTTCGTAACATAAATAGTTTTGTAACAAAGTCCTTTTTCCTGTTAAATATATGATATTGAAAAGAAGATTGATTAACGGCCTCTGAAAAGCTTAAAGTTTCTTTTAAAAAATACGATTATTAGCAAATATTTATAGCTTCCAAGGCAAGAAGATAGAGAAAAGTGCAAACTTTTTATTAACGGAGGAATAAAGTTTTTTTTATTTGATATTTCGTTCGCCTACTGAAAGATCACGCATTAAGCGTATGCAAAAATATATATCCAGATATGTTCGTATAGTGTCAGTCTATATAGACTTAATCAAGTTCCGCCCTACATATACATTGATTTATCTGTAATTGAATATCTCCAAATACTAAAACTCAAAATTAAACCAAATTTTTTCTTACTTGAATGTATTCGGCTTAAACATAATCTCAAGTCGCGTGTAACAAGAAAATTGTATAATCTTTTGGTTAACCATTAATGACTTAAATTAAATTTTAATTTATTTGTCGTTACCAATTCTGTTACAGTTCTATAAGTGGCTTATGGTATGTGGAGTGTTGGTTGAGCGATCCAGTAACGTTTCTAAAATTCATAAATAATTTCAATATATCGCTTTGTACATGTAGGATTGTATGACATTCAATTTTGAGAATTTTCAATGCAATTAGACCAAGATACGTATTGAAATGGTTTAAAAATCAATTTATAAAGAAAATTTAAAACGTTTTTAAACACATATAAGATAGAAATGTTGTAATTCTTTTGATATAAATAATTAATTCATTTAATTCATATAATTAATTATTTAATTTTAACACATTTAAAAAATCTCCTTTAATACACGGAATGTGTGCGTGTTTACTTTACGCCAATGCGATATGTTAATAGCATCTATGAAGAGATCTGAGTAAAGAAACTTCAAATTGCACAAAAACATGTCTTTTGGAATTCAATTGAAAACGGGTAAGTTCTTGAAAAGAGGCCAAGAAAAGCCGTAATAACGATAATTCTGACGATATTTAGACATACTACTTCCGTCATCATAATTACGTTCGTTTCGAAGCTAAACTTCAAAGCTTCAGAGCTTGTGTAAAATTTTACAAAAACTTTTGAAAATATGGTATTTTATGGGACGTGGCCGAAAAAGTGGACTGAATTCTAATCATTTTCAATAGTGTTCGTCCTTGGGCGAAAAATTTGGGATATATACGATGAACACAAGACGGAACACATGGACAGATACCACATACACAAGCGGGGAGACAAAATTCATTGATTTAGAAAATAGTTATAGACCGATCAGTACTGCAAACCCTTCCGAAGGTTAGCAACGTTTGTTCAAACTTAATATGCCCTGTACGAAAGTAATGTAGGGTGCAAAAATGACAACACTTACAGGCGTAGTCTACTGTAAATTTTTGAAAAAATCAGTTTTCTCTATTGGCTTAAACGGCCTCTTAATATTTTGTTAGTCAAGAATGGCATAAAAGGACAAAACAGTAAATAGTCAAAATCTTCGATTTTCCGAGCATAATTCTATGGCAGATTTTTCGGTAAACGCGATTGGTGAAAACGGCCAGTGGAATTGTTTTTTTGAAATTTCTTTTCAATTGAAATTGCACAGAGATTCCGAATCGATCGGTATAATATTTAAAAAAACGGGTCTCTTCCAAGTTGTTCTGGGTGTTGCGTGCGTACGCATAAACGTAATGTACCCTTGTGGCGTAGGGTATACAAATAAAAAAACTGAAAGCAAATATGTTCACCCATCTGGAAGAAGTTTGGAAGAAGTGTTATCGTCTCCCTTTAACCGTATTCTTGCCACGCAATATCTTTGAATCACTTTTGAATTTTGAACGCAAATTTTTTTAATTATTCCATATTGCGTTTTCAAATAGCATATGGCTTGTGTATAATATTTTATGTTTATACATAACCCTTGCTTGAATATATAAATGAACTTAAACAATAACATTTCACATATTCCCAGAATTCTTATAAGTGACTGAGAGTCACCTCGTGGTACGATTCATTATAAAAGGAACGTGGTGAGTTTAAATGAATTCAAAATACCACAATTCGATGTAATATAAATTGCAGTGGCACATGTTCCAGGAGAATAGAAAATATGAAGCCTGTGTTGGATGGTTCAATAGTAAAACTACCGATATTTCACCGCAATGGGCTTATATCCGGTTAAAGAATACTATCTATTGGCTTACTAATAGGTTACCGATACAAAATTTATTCTAATTTATTTTCGATTTATGCTAATTAATACAGTAACACCAAAAATCAAATCACTTTTAGGGATTGTAAATTCCAAGTGTTCCTTTGATGTGATTAAGAAAGAATGCTTATGAACTAAAAAATCCTCAAATTGTTCAAAAGTAAAAAAGCGTCTCATACTTCCAGTAACTATAATAAATATATTTACGTTACATGTTTATCTGCATACATAGTTGCAGTTATGTAAAACATCTGCGTTGTGGTAACCGTTGTGACAAGAGAATGCAAACAAACATCGTTTTTGGTAAATTTATACGTATGCTGAATAAGAAGAAGAAGAAGAACACAAATGGTATTATAGATGGACAGACAACAACCATCTTCTAAGCTTAGCTTCTTAAGCGATCAGTGAATGTTTGTGCCAAATTTCAGTTTTCTACTTTCATTTCTAGGGTTGTGCCAATTTCCATAATGACAGGAGTTGAAATTGATTCCATTTTATGGAAGAAGTTATATGTCATCGACATCCACACACTGTAGTGGACAAGAGAAATATAATGATAGGCATTGAAAAGTCTTCCCGCGCAAGCGAAAATCCTCAAAAAGTTACGGAATATTTAGCGGTTAAACAGTTAAGATAAGTTAGTCACGCAAGCAGACTACAAGTCTTATTACCCATACACCACTTGTGAGGCAAGAGTATTGTGGGAATGTATGCAACACACAGAAGGATTTGAGACAGACCGTCCTCTTATTATACCGACCTATTCAGAATCAATTTTTAAATATATATAAACCTGTCTGTCCATATGTCCGTCCTTTTTTCTGTTTAACGTACAGGCCACAATTGTGTACGTATTTTGTTGTAATTTGATCTACTAATGCGTTTTGGCCGAAGGATAAATGCTATGAAAAATGATTCGGAGAGAAGCGCTTTTATGGTCACTTTCTATACACCGCCTTACTTTGAAAAGTCGTTATACGAGTAAATGTAGAGTGGCATAGGACGTTTAATAGTGACTCGTAGCTCAATATAGTGCGTTTTTACTTACTTTAAAGTAGTTTACCTATTAATTGCGTGAAAATAAGACAAATATTGTTTATCACGAAATTTCTGCAGCTGGTCGTTTATTTTTCTCAACGAAAGAAGAAATATGCTGAGTAGGATTTGGAAGTCAAGAACGGGCTTTTCATTTTCTACAATATTCCTACGAAAGAAATTGTCTGGTGTAAACTTATTGTATTACTAGTCTGATAATACGAAAAATTTCAAGATAGGAAGAGAAAAATTTAGTCAGACGAGAAGTATTAATGTAGAAGGTATTAATGTATGAAAACTATGTTCGACTATAGCCGAATCTTTTATACTTATCTTAAAAAAGATTAAAACAAAAACTAAATTTTCGTATCCTAACTAGGGCGAGCGTGGCTGATTTTTTCGATTTTGTGGATATTTCTATCCTGCGCCTGTTGTAGTTCATAACGGATGAGCAAAAAATACCAACTCCTTATTGCTTAAGAAAACAGCAGTGGTAGTTTGGGTATTGCGATACGCGTGCCCTTCGCACGATTTGGCTCATTTTTAGTGCTAACGTACAGTGCGTGCAAGAATTTTTTTCAAATTTTGGAGCCATCATTTTCGTTTTTGTGGGCAAGAGTGTACACATAGGTACACACATAGACCGGCAATTTAATCATCAATGTATATACATTGCGTTGCAAATATTTTGCCAAAATTGTTATGTGTGTGTGTGTATAAAAATATGTGATAGATAGACTTCTTAGTACATACAAAGCATTAACCAATGACGGGAGATTTGATTTTATTCGTATTAAGCTCTTTTTGGGTGTTCATAAAAAAAAAGAGCTTAAGGCAGACATTTACATTATTACATTTAATTATTAAATGCACTGTTATGAGAACGTTTCATCTACCACTAATTATAGACATTGTTTCATTTTAATTACATACATACACGCAAACGGAAATCTCTTCTTACTTCGCTGCATTTAAACATTAAAAGAAAATTATTACTACTGACTACTGACTGCATTGATCGCGACGTTTATGTAAACATGCTTCCAGGTACGTTACGGCAATGTTTGTTAATTTTGTCATATCTTTTGTAATACCAAACAAGAGATCGGTCATATCTTAAGAAATGCAGATTATTAAGTGAATGGATCCGCGCTAATTCGAGTACGCTTTCAATTGATTATTGAGGCAACGACAGCATTTACATGAAAATTTGGCACTATTATCGTATCTCTTTCTTATCCCTATAGAAATTTACGATTTGAAATAGAATATGAACAGATTTACAGACATGTCTGCAGTGATTGAATCAATGTCTGATGAAATTTGGCAAGTGCATCGTATCAATAGTGATTATATTGATAAAATTAAACATTAAAGAATAAAATCAATGTAAGGGCAGCGGAAATAAAATAACTCTTTACGACCAGCAGGGCAAGAAGCATCAGACTTATTGAACGCGAACATTTGAAAATAGCAATAACAAAAGTGCGGACAACAAGCGCTAATTTGTAAATGTATTTACAACATCGCAAGCAGTAGCTACATCGATAATTACTTCACTACTCCTAGCTTCTGTGCTTAACATTCTCTGGAGTTGCTCATTTCAGTGCAATAGTGACTATCGGTTGTAATTCGCAAAATCAATAAGAAGCACCTTGAACTAGCAACGCATATATGAGTAAGTTAACAAAAACTAGGACAGCAACAAAAGCCACATCAATAAGATAAATTCCGTCAAGAACAACAGTCTCAGCTATTATGGTATCTGAAACACTGTATACATAAAAGTCATCCTATGGGTATCTTCAAAAATAAGCGAAAAGCTTCAATCAAGAACAGTGTACAAAACAATTACAAAAGTTACATCAACATTTTAACAAATAATCACAGCAATATGTATAGAATAGTAACGTCAATAACATCCAAACAATTAAAACTGCAACAACTGTAAACTTGGGCGATGTGGAGGACTGATTTCAGCAACATGTGAAAAGTCGCAGCTCTGAAAACACGAAAACTGGCAAGAGAACATATTTTCCTTACATGAATCCATTGTGCACTAAATTTGGTATCAAGGTGTGATAGACGTTGGAGCGGGTTGCTTCATGTGATAGAATGTTGTTATGAAGAAGAATGAGTTTGTGTTGCCTTTTTCGATATTCTGGCTTTCTGACAAGCGAACTGTTGATAACGTCAAACGTTTCAGCCGGTAGTAGCCCTTCTAGGCTTTCCCAAAAGAAACCATAGCCGTCCTGTTAAAATAATTGAGTGATGAGGTCGCATTGGTTATAGCGCCCATGGTTATCTGCAATCTTTCACGATTCGGATTTTCAAAATGGATTCACTTTTCGTCTTGGGTCGCGATATAATGCAAAGCGACTTTTTTTCTTTTTTCTGATGACCCTGTGACTATTTCTCACTTTTCGTAGGGAATTGGAAACCGCTTGGCGATTATCATTTAATTGCTCTGCCTACGCCGTCTCTGCACTTACGGGACCATC